CCTATCTTTGGGGTAGGGCTCCTTGCAGCAGGAGGGATTGGGGCTAGAAGGCAGAAAAGCTAGTTCTGGAACAGTTGGTACGGGATGACCATAGGATTCCCTATGGGGAGCTTTGAGGGTAAGGGCATGGGAGCCGGAAAGAGCTTAGACAGCATTCTCAGGTCCCTCTTCACTTCAGGGTTCAATAATTGACCATCACCTCCAGTTAATGAGACCAGAATTAGAAGGCTTTTTTTCCTGAGACACAACAGGGCCTTGGTGGGAGTGGAGGCCTGGAGTTCCCTGTGTATGTCAGGGCAGAAATAGGGTTTGTGTTCCTGTGACTCCCTGAGGAGGGTGTGAACTCTCACATAGGCCCAGGCAGGTCCTTTCTGACTGTCCTTAAGTAGAACCAGCAGGTAGAAGGCTGGAGGGTGAATGAGGGTACAAAGAAGAGCCAGGCAGCCACACTGCAGAGGGAGGATGCCTGAGGAAGGACTCTGAGGGAGTCAGGAGGCTGGTTCTGCTCCCCCTGATGACCGTTTCTCCTTTCTCTCCTAGTTCATGACTTGCAGAGCTTCGGCCTCGACAACGTATGTACCAAGTGGAAACCATGGAGGGCATGTAGGGTGGGAGGCTGGGCTACTGCCTTCATTTCTCTGCAATTGGGGAGCACACAGAGACCAATATACCCTGTTTTGTGGGGGTCCATTCTGAGTGTTGAGTGAGAGGGCCTTTTGGACTGAGATCTGAGCAGATGACGGACAGGGATGAGGTTGGACAGGAGCACCTCAACAGAGGGAACCTCAGGCCATGTCAGGAGGAAGTGTGGCACTTCTAAGGAACCATAAGGACAGATGTGGATGGGCAAAGCTGGGAACATTGGCAGGGCCAGAGCACACAGGACTCAGAGGCTACACTGAGGAGTCCGGCCTTTCCCCTGAGAATAGGAGATGCTGTTGGCCGACTTTAACTAGAGGCATGACAGAATCAGACTTGTATTTTTCGAAAGATCATTTCAGAGACTAAGTTTGATAGAGGTTGAACAAGAAAAATGTGCGACTGGAGATCAGGGGCCTGCAGCATAGGCCTTCATGGCTTAAGACTTGCGGACACCTAGGACCTGCCATGCAGTCGGTGGCTGGTCTGTGTGCCCAGTGTGTGACCTTGAACTCTGGAGCCCCAGGAACCTGCAGACTATGAGAAAGAGTTCCTAGGTAGAGGACGGGGGTTCCTGCCTCAGGCAGGTTTCCCCTAAAGCAATAGCTTCGTGCAGTAGGCCCTTCCTCCCTGCATCCCTTCCTCCCCGTCTACACTGACAGACCCAGACTTCCCTGCCTGCTTCTGCAACACAGAGTTTTGCTGGGACAGGGACTGTCAGATCTCAGGACTGATGTTATTTTGCAGATAAACATGACGCACTACATCCAGCACCTGTCATTTGGGGAGGACTACCCAGGCATCGTGAACCCCCTGGACCATACCAATGTCACTGCACCCCAAGGTACCATCCTGAGAAGTAGCCCCTTGCCACCAAAGTCCTGCCTGGCACCCATGCCCAGTGCTCTCTTCTCCCCACAGCCTCCATGATGTTCCAGTACTTTGTGAAGGTGGTACCCACAGTGTACATGAAAGTAGATGGGGAGGTGAGTCTGAGGGAACTCGGATGTCAGTCTCCTGCTTAGTGCCAAGCACTTGAGGTCCTTCCTTTAGTTCCTTCAGCTTGGAAAGTAAAGTGCTGCTCTTATCCCCAAAAAAACTGAAAAACTGAGGGTAGGTGACTTATCTTCACAGGCAGAGTTCAGGCCTGGAGTGCTGCCATATTTCAGAGTGCTTGCTCAGGTAGCCTCCATTCATTCCTTTAGTGCCCATTGTCCCCTGTGGTCTGCCCTGGGCTGGGAGAAACCAGGCCAAGCCTTCCTGGACCTGCTCCATTCGTGCTGTGGCTTATGGAGCAGTCTTCTCTGGGGAGTGGTAGAATGCAGGAGGCTGAGGATAAGGAAGTCAGTCCCAACCTTAGGGTACAGCCTGAGAGAGATGCTCGTCAACCCTGAACCTCCACTGAGAACATCCACCAGATGTAGCTGGGATGGGAAAACTCTAAAGCCCAGTGACTGGAGTGGAAATCAGGATGGCAAGGCTAGGCCAAGGGGGTCTATGTGGAACCCAGTCCTGTTGGTTACCCACATGGCACCTCATTCAAAGTGCAAGACACAAGGGGATGGTTGGGTGCAGGTCGTAGACCCAACTCTGGCCCTGGCTCCCTTCCCACCCCAGGTGCTGAGGACAAATCAGTTCTCTGTGACCAGACATGAGAAGGTCGCCAATGGGCTGCTAGGTGACCAAGGGCTTCCTGGAGTCTTTGTGCTCTATGAGCTCTCACCCATGATGGTGAAGCTGACAGAGAAGCACAGGTGAGAATGGGGGGCAGGACTGGCCAGGGCCTGTACCTGTGAGAGCAGGGTGCCTACTGAGCCACCTGTTCTCTCCACCAGGTCTTTCACCCACTTCCTGACGGGCGTATGCGCCATCATTGGGGGCATGTTCACGGGTAAGAAGCCCCAGGTTGCCTGTTAGGAGGGTGAGGGAACATGGGGTGTGAGAGGCCTGGGTGCCCTGGGTTTTGGTTGGGGAAGAAAAAAGCACCTTGAGGGCCAAGAGAGATGCTGGCCTGGCCAGTTAGGTCACAAGGTTCACAAGGTCAAGCCAAAGGCCCAACTGGACCAGTGCAAGCCCTTGTCTTTCTCCCAGTGGCTGGACTCATCGACTCCCTCATCTACCACTCTGCCCGAGCCATCCAGAAGAAAATTGATCTAGGAAAGACAACGTAGTCCTCCTCTTCCCACTCCATTCTTCCTGCTCTCTCCTCTCTTTGCCTGTGGTTATAGCCCCCAATCTCTACCCACCACGCCTCCCACCTCCTCACAGTCAGCCCCGGCCCCAGGTTGATAAATATTGTGATAGCACTCACTGGTCTCTGTGTGATTCTTGGGTCTGGCCTTAACCTAGGAACAGCCCCTTATCTTAGCCACATGTTGAAGTCAGTCATGACTGACAGGTCAGGGCCCAGCCCTCTGGGAGCCCCACTTGGACATCCCCTGGCTAATTGGGCTTTATTCACACCAGGCTGATGTTCACTGTACAGCTCTGCCCTCAGTTCCACCTCCATTGTGATCGGATGGACCTTTCCTGGTGAGCATCCTGGAGCCACCATGGCCCCCAGATTCAGGAAGTGACTGAACCCAGTGCCACTATTTCAGAGCTCAAAGTGCAACTTGAGGGTTGTCACCTCTTCAGTGACAGCTAAATCTGGGGCCACTCCCCCCAGCCCTGGGCTTGGTCACTCATCCTATCATGTTCACTGACCTGCTCTGTGCCAAGTCCCATGTTGATTCTTGGTACAGAGAAATCCGTGCAGGTCCTTCAGGCTCCTAAATGGAATCAAAACTGAAAATGAGGAGGGAGACTGGTGGCAGTGCCATCTTGGAGCAGGGACAGCACCAGACCCCTGACTCGACCTAACAAGGACTTCATCAAATGTAGAGAACCATGGCTTAGGGGTCTCACCACTCCACAGCCCAGGGAGACACTGGTCAGTCCATCAGATCATCTCTTAGGGTTCCATGTAAGACTTCAGCAGGAGAAGCAGAGTACAGAAATGACAGAACACCTCCAGACTGGTCTGAGAGCTCGATGATGTGATCAGTGGAGAGCTGTGCCCATGGATATAGGATTTATTGGGGGTTGGGGCTTGGGCTAACTAGGCAAGCACCTACCACTCGATCCATACATCTAGCCCTCTTTGCTTTAGTTTCTTTTTCAGGTATGATCTTGTGGTTTTTTGCTCATAGTGGAACATACTCCTACCTCTGCCTCTTCCCTACCTGAGATTATAGCTACACTCAAGCTCATCCAGCCTGTTTTTGAGGTGGGGTCTCACTAACTTGCCCAGGCTAGCCTCAAACTGAGATGCTTTCATCTCTGCCTCCCACATACTGGAATTAGAGGTGTGTCCCATGATGCCTGGCCCCCTTGGAAATATGATTTAATCCCCCTTTGTAGACATTGGTGTCATTTAGAAATGGGGGATGACAACACCAGGCATAGTGAGTTGTTTTTGGGCACCCAGGAATCATTCCCCTTAACAGTATCCTGAATTTCCTCTGGGAATGTCTGTCCATCCTCTCAGCTTCTGTAGTTTGGGTGGAGGGTTGGTCTTCCACCCCAACTCCCTAGGGAGGAACAAAATCTACATATCCCACCTCCTGGCCACAGAGACCAGGACAAGCCAGACTTTCTTTTGATGTCTGAGGTCCCTCATGGGGGAGAGGTTTCTGCAGCGTCCTGCAGGGAGAACCTGCCTGCAAATGAGCTGTCTCCCAGTAGAGGTAGAGCTGAGTCAAAAGGCAGAGTCAGGGCTGGAGTAACGGCTCAAGTGGTAGAGCACCTGCCTAGCAAGCATGAAGCCCTGAGTTCAAACCCCAGTCCAAAAAAAAAAAAAAAAAGACAAATGAATTTGGTCCTGGTGACATCATATGGGCCCTGTGGCAAACTGCACCCATTCAAACCAAACCCTTTTAAGCCAATTTGGGCTGAGACTGCCATCACTTGCAACCAAAGTGCCCTAACAGATGTGCTTGCCTCTCAGGATTGGCGAGGAACAAACTAATTTTATTAATGACAAACTTTTTATTTTATTTTAATGATACCCTTCGATGTCGTGGAAGTACAGAGGCCATAACAGAAAGGTGAGAGGTCCCAGCCACTGGCAGGAATAGGAGGAGTGGGTGGGCTGTGTGGAGGGAGAGCGAGCCCACAGCTCAGTTGCCAGGGACCCCGGGCCCTGAGCCGCCTGCCGGGTTCTGAGCTCTCCTGGTGGGCCTGTGAGCGGTCCCCAATCCTGTGGGTCCTAGCAAACGCCCAGCCGGCATCTGAGGCCACGCAAGGCCATCTCTGCCCTGCCCCTTCGGGAGCCAGGCCGGGACACAACATCAGGGACGGTGGGTGATGAGGTTGAGAAAGCCCTGAACTCTGGGGTGCAGCAGGGGCGGTGCCCCCGTCAGTCGGAGCCAGAGGCTTTGTGGAGCGGGCTGAAGATGACCTTGCTGATCTGCCCCGGGATGGTGTAGAAGACCAGGAGGAGGAAGACGGTGATGAGCGCCAGCAGCAGCAGCAGCAGCAGGACGCGCCAGTAGCGGTGCAAGATGAAGAAGACGAAGGTCTTCAGCGGGTTCACCAGCCAGTTGAAGGAGGTTTTGGGGCGGCTGTGGGGAGGCGGAGTCAGAATGCCGAGAAGCGCGGCCTCCCACCCGCCCCGGCCGGCCGCCCCACTCACTTGGGCTTCTCCAGGGGCTCGGGCTCCTTCCGCCCCTTCCCCACCGGCCGTTTCTCCGCCTCCTCCACCGTCAGCAGCTCAAACTCCGCCTCCACCTTCCCCTAGGAAGAGACACCGGCGCGTCGCTGGAGCGGGGGCCGCGCCCAGCCCGGCCTGGTCCCCGTCCCGCTGCGCACCATGAGCAGGTAGACGTTGCCGCCCGCGTCCGTGAACTCCAGGTCCTCCGGCCGGCCCTTCCTCCTCCGCTTCCGCCTCTTCTTGCCCGCCTGCGCCTCGCGCGCCTCGCGCTCCACGTCCTCCGCCTCCCGCAGCTTCACCACGGGCCACCAGCCCCGCAAGCGGCGGCAGCGGAACAGATTGCACCTGGGCCCGGCCCCTTCGCGGGCCAGCCGAATGGAGCAGAGCTCAGGGGTCCGGGCCCCCCGCACCATGTCCGGGAGCTGCAGCTCCAGGGATCCTGCAAGAGCGGAGCTCACTGGGTTAGGCATGGCTCCAAGGCTAAGAGGGCCAGGGAGAAGGAGGCAGCACACCAGGGCTGGAAGCAGGGACACCAAAAGTGGGAATGCGGTGGTCACGGCTACGGACAGCCAAAAACACAACTCCCAATTCAAGAGGACTGCGGACTGGGATCAGACTATCAAAGCAAGGACCAAAGACCACAATGGGGTGACTTCAGTAGGGTCGAATCAGGATTGGGGCAGGTGCTTGGAGTGCAAATGGAGGTTACTATGGTCAGGGCTTAATGAGCTCTGTATTGAGGCCAGAAAACAAAAGTTCAGGCTTGGAGTCTAAAATCCTAGAACTCGGGGTTCAATTAGAATAGAAAACCAAGGACAAGGAGATAGGGGTGGGGCAAGAGCACCCAGGACAGAAATCAGGGTAAGACGGAGGCTGGGGAAGGCTAACCAGTACCAAGGAAGTCGTTGGCGGAGATGCGGTCATAGTCCCAGACCTGCAGGACCAGCACAGCCGGCTGCCGGAATTCCGCCTCCTCCAGGGCGAAGGGTCCAGGCCGGCGCCTGACGCTCACCTCCCGCTCGGTGGGCAGGTAATCAAAACGGAATACAAAGCGCCAGTTGAAGTTGCCCTCCCCAGTCAGAGAGTTGAAGTGGACGTCTGTCTCCTGTTTGTCATGCTCCAGCCCCTTCACCCAGCTGGGGTCAGGGGAAAGGACAGACCAGGGCATATGGGTGTCAGGGCTGGAGCCACAACCACAGCTCGGCTCCTCACCTAGCTCTACGCACATAGAAGGCTTGAGGACAGGTTCTGGACTCAACCAAAGGACCTCCCTTAGGACACAGCCATTTGGCCAGCCCCCCCTCCAGGCCTACCTTTTCACATAGATGTCACTTGACATCTCTCCCGTGATTGGATTCACATCATCCAGAACCACATCTTCCGTGTTCCAGATGACGGCTCTGAGCTCATAGCTTGGGGGTGGGAGGGGGAGGGGGAATGTATTGGTTTTTAGATTCTTAAAAAGGGGTCCTGGGAGGGGCTCTGTGCCTAGGCCACTGACTTTCTGTGACCACCTGGTGTGTATCTGGCTGTGTAATCAAGAGAAAGAGGTATATTTCTGCTCAAGTGGCCTAGGGGGTAAGAAGAAAGGCTGGCACTGTCAGAAGCCACCTTGCTCCATATTGCAAAAGACTCTTTGAGAGTGGTACCAAGGAAAGCAGAGCCCAGAGGTAGGTAGAGAGTGACACTGCTGACACCATCTGAGCACATGGATCCAGCTCTGTCTGGAGTGGCTACATCCAGAACTGCACACAGACTAGCTCAGGGAGGAGCAGGCTTTACTGAAAGGTGTCTGGACTCTTAGTTTACAAGTGACAGACACCCAGTCACAGTGCTTTGGGGTGGGGGGAGGGCACTTAATGGCTCACCTACCCAAAAAGCCTATGGCCAGGAGTCTGTCTGCTTCAGTGGGCGCTCAGATTTTGAGAGAACTCTGGTCCAGGTAGAGCAAGACATGCCCTGGCCTCTAGGAGGAGGAGTCAGAACTATCTCACCTGATTGGCTGCCTAGGCTTGATGTCAACTGGAGGTGGAGCAGGCACATCACTGGGGAAGATGTCAATCCACATATGAAGAGATCCCTAGGGGCACAAGACCAGGCTGGAGGCTTACCACCTCCCCTGACAGCCCCATGGCCACAGGCTGTGCCTTGCCCAGGTGGTTCTTGGGGGATGAGGATGAAGGTGGAGTCTGAAGTGAGGGTTCCAGGATCAAGGTCAGGTTGGGGGTTCAGGATGAGAGCCCAGAAGTGAAAGATTGAGATCAAAAGTAAGATACAGTGATCTCAAGGTCCAGAACTTAATGAACTGGGGTAGAGGTTAGGTTGGGAACCCAAGGTCTGAACCTTGGTGACCCAGTGGTGGACATCCTACAGGACCAGAGTCAGGATGGCAACCAGGGGCCCAGGATAGAGGTCCAAGACTCCAAGACGAGCAGTGTTGCTGCCACTGCCACTGACTCAGGAGCTGAGCTAGTGGGAGTGTGGTGCCCAGGTGGAGGTCTTGGGGAAGAATATCCATCCTGCAGCCTAGAGTCCATCAGGTAGGAATCCTGAGATCTGGGAGTCTTGAGTCTTGAGAGTGCTGAGCACCCCTCACCTGCAGTAGCCCTGGGCTGCGGGGATGGTAGAGGGGCCGTGTTTCTACATGCTCAGGTACCAGCTGGATCCCAAACCCTGGCATCTCCTGCCAACGCCGTAATACAAGCAATGCCTGGGCCTCCTCAGAGGCCCCATTTGCTGCCTTGGGACCTCCACCACCTGAAACAAGAGGGTGTGAGCTTGGGTTCTGCATAGTTCCTAACTCTCCTCCCTTTCTCCTTACCCCGCCACAGAAGCTCTAAGAGACACCACCACTGCCCTCGTTAAAGCCTGCGGACTGGGAGGGCAAGTGTGCCATGCACAAAAGGGGCAGGTGAATTGTTATAACAACTTTTGCCAGTGAAAAGCCAGCAGTTATGGATACCAGGACACTGGCGGGGGTGTAGCTTTTGCTCAGATCCTGTTTAGAGAATCAGTCACCAGCCATTTATGAAGCATGAGTTCAATTCTGCAACCACGCACATAGTATGGACATTCAGTGGGGCTGCCCTATGCTTTGGGAACTTGGCCAACTGTGGCTCTGAGGGATCCCACTTAAAGACCATTTTTACCCCCATCATCCAAGAACCTCATCCTTCTCAACCAAATTCATTCTCTGCCTGCTACCTTCAATGGGCTCTTTTGGGGGGTGTGCTAGCCTGGCACCAGGGACTCCTGTACCTGTTCTACCTCCGTTTTGTTCCCTTCGGTTTTCCCAGCAAAGAGGGACTGGTACCTGGGGGGAGGGTCTCAGGCGGTGTCAGAAAGACTTTGCTGCCCACCTTGACAGCCCCAACTCGGTATTCAGGCGCAGGGAGGTCACAGCGTTGGCACAGCCCCGCTAGGATCTGTGAGGGCCGGAATGCATCCCGCCAGGTATTATACCCATCCCTGTGGGGAGGAAAGGAAGATGCCTCATCTGGGCCCAGGGGAAGGGATGAGGACCCTTAAAGACATGGGATCCATGTCTTTCCCATGTCCAATGGGAGACAGATTAGTTCTCACAGTAATGATGAAAATCAAAGATGTCAGTCAGGTGCCTCTGGGAAGGACTTGCTGGCATTATCTCTGCTTGGTGGGTGAGGAAACTGCCAAGGTATTAAACTGATTAGTTACAAGACCTAAGTTTTAGCCACTGAGCTGTAATGTCTTGGTAGAGGGGTGGGTTCTTCTATGAAAGCCTGGGTCTGGAGACCCAAATGGGAACATGAGCTTGAATGTGTTTGGTCAGAGAATAAGAATGGCTTCTGAGAGCCCTATGAGACTCACACATCATACTGGGAGGCCAGCCCACAGTTTGCTCTGTGGTGGCTGTAGAATCGGTTTTCCAGATCAATGTGGGTCTCCCCAATGAGGTCATCGGAACCCACGAGGTCATGATCGAATACAGCTACGGTCAGCTCTGGCTCAGCGGGGAGAGAGACGCTCAGCTCCAGGACCCTGGCCAGGAGGGAGAGTGGCTGAGGGCACTGCCATGCCCTCAGAGGGGGTCTGGAGTGTCCCTCAACATCACCAGACTATCTGGGTGAGAGCCCTTGCCCCAGGGCTACCCCGTCCCCAAGCCCAGGGCCCAGCCTCACTCTCCAAAGATGGGGTTGAGCTGCTTGGGGATGTAGCGCTCCTTGGTGTCCTGCCTCTCCTTGCCAGCGCTCACCACCACATAGGGGTCTGCTTTGCCATTGGGGTCGGCGGGAGCCAGGTTGGTAGCCTAGGGGAACAGTATGTAGTGGAACTAGAAACAGTGTCATTGTCAAAGCCATAACCCTTGTTGGACCTAATCTCAAAATAAGTATAAGCATGGACGGGTGGTGTGGCTCAGGCAGTGGAGCATCTGCTTTGCAAGTGCAAAGCTCTGAGTTCCCAGCCCCACTAAAAAAACAAATAGTAAAGTATAGGTGGAAATGACTAAGGAGATAGCTCCCACTGAAAGACTGGACAAGATGACTTTTATTTTCTTTTCAATTAATTATGAAATATTTGAGACATACAAATAGATACAATGGAAAAAATGAAAAAATATAGTGAAACAAAATATTTGGAAAGATGTGTGAGAAAGTAACCCTATGGGCTGGTGGAGTGGCTCAAGTGGTAGAGCACCTGCCTAACCCAAGCATGAGGCCATGAGTTCAAACCCCAGTACTGCCAAAAGAAAAAAAGAAAGTAACTCCTTCACAAGAAATTATCTAGCTGGGCACCGGTGGCTCACGCTTGTTATCCTAGGTACTCAGGAGGCAGAGATCAGGAGGATTTCAGTTTGAAGCCAACCCAAGTAAATACCTTGCAAGACTCTATCTTGAAAAAACCCATCACAAAAATAGGGCTGGTAGAATGGCCCTTAGTTCAAGCCCCAGTACAGCAAAAAAGAAAAAAAGAATCTGAAAAAAAATTTTTTAAAGAAAAACATCTGGAAAGGTATATATTCAATAAAACTTACTGTATTGACTTTTTTTTTATGATGAACATAGTTTACTTTTTATGTTAAGAAGCATTTTATGTTAATAAAAATATTATGCCAGAAAAAGGAAAAAAGGAGTATTTTCACTAAAATTTTTAAAGAATGCAGAGTATATACATTCCCAAGCTTAACAGGTAAAACATTACAACAGTTTGAAGGCCTTTAAATAAACTTAGCTTGTTGGTTTCCCGTCAGCTTCAAGTAAACGGGACCATTTACCTAGAGTTCATCTCTCACGCGTGTATCTTTTTATTTTTACTCCACATACATGTATCCCTAAGTAATGTTTAGCACTACTGGGCACGTTTTTAAGATGTGTGCTTTAAACTTCTGTTTGTTTTTGATAAGTATACAATTTGGTAAGTGTAACTTCTGCATAGACTGATGAAGTACAACATATGTACGATACATTTTTGGTGTTTCTTACACTCCTACCTGCAACATATAAAGGTTTCAGTACTGCACATTTTTTTTCAGTAGTCACATTGCTTAGGCAAGTGTTCTACCACTTGGGTCACACCCCACCTCCAGTCTTTTTTCCTTTTAGTTTGCTTTTCAGATATAGTATTACACTTTTGCATGGGCCAGTCTCAGAAGTCAGTCCTCCTATCTCTGCCTCCCAAGTAGGTGGGTGGGATTATGGATGTGTGACACCACACCTGACTTGTTTTTGAGATAAGGTCTCACTAACTTTTTGCCCAGGCTGGCCTCAAGTCACAATTCTCCTCTCTCATCTCCCCGAGTAGCTGGGATTACAGTGTGCACGACCATGCCCAGCCCCTTACTCATTTTAAATTCATTTTTTTGCCAGGTATGGTGGTATACCTGTGTAAATCCAACATTCTGGAGACTGAGGCAGAAAAATCACAAATTTGAGGCTAGCCTGGAATACACAGACCCTCTCTCAAAAACACAACAAAAAATCATTCTTTTATTTCTTTAGTTTTATGCATAGTCATTTTATAGCCTCTATCTAGTCATTTCAACCTCAGTAACACTGGAATGTGAATCCGTTAATTTTTCTAATTCTCATTCATGATGGTTTGAGTCTTTATATTTTGTAACTATTTATCATGATTCATATTTGGTTTAACTCATTCTTCAGGTCTAAATTGCTCTACCAGGGAGGGCTTGCTTTGGCTTCTGCCAGTTTCCTGGGCAAACTATCAATCTGAAACCACTTTCAATTAAATGCTCCAGTTGGGGTTTGGGGATCTCACAAAGGGTGAAATTCAGGCCCAAACCTACAGGAAAGCCAGCTCGTGGTCACGAATGCTTAGGGAAGTTTTTTTGTTTTGGTGTGACTGGGGTTTGAACTCAGGATTTTGAGCTTGTGAGGCAGGTACTCTACCATTTGAGCCACACCTCCCACCTTTTTGCTTTTAGTTATTTTTCAGATAGGGTCTCATGTTTATGCCTGGGCTGGTCTAGACTGTGATCCTCCTGTTTATATTTCCTGCATAGCTGAGATGACAAGCACCACCATGCCCGGCTGATTGGTTGAGATTGGGTTCTCACTAATTTTTTGCCCAGGCTGTCCTTAAACCACAAACCTCACAATCACTGCCTCCTGAATAGCTGGGATTATAGGAGAAAGTCACCATTTCCAGAGAGATTGCGGTGTCCTGGGACCAGGCGAAGAGTTTCCAGGAAGAAGACGTGGTCAGTTATGTCCAACAAAAAAGAACTGGGGGATGTGGGGCGATCTGGCTGCAACATCTGTCATCCCATTGATCGCCAGGGTTGATTTGGAAGATCTGGCTGGCTAGGCAGGTGTCCCTGTTCTCCCTCACCACTCCATATGTGCACCTTCAGTCTAAGAGGACAACTATCACTGAGAGAGGAGGACTGTTCTTTGGTCAACAGTAGCTGTGTGACCCTGCTAGAAACTCCAAACAAGCTCTCAAGAAAAGGACTGGGGCTGGGGGTGTGGCTCAAGTGGTATAGTGCCCACCTAGCAAGCACAAGACCCTGAGTTCAACCCCCAATATCACCCCATCTGAAACATTAAGGGTCTGAGGGTGTGGCTGTACGGCAGAACACAGCCCAGCATGCACAAAGCCCTGGAATCAATCCCTAGCACCGCAACAAACAAACAAACAAAAAGAACTAAAACATGAAGAAGTTGGACTATATGATCCTTCTGTAGGTTTTGTGTTTGGTGGAGCCGTACCAGGGCCTGCGATACTCACCTTTACCACATACACTCTGACCAGGAGTTTGATGGGTCGGTTCTGGGGAATACCCCGGGAGATCTGGGGCTCAGAGGAGGTCGCTGCCTGTGACTCAGGGTAAATGAGAAAGGAGCCCTAGGGTGGAGCGAGACAGAAAAGGTCCTGGTAAGAAAGTTTTCCTGCTGAGTGCCAATGGCTCATGCCTGTAATCCTAGCTACTCAGGAGGATCACTGTTCAAAGCCAGCCAGGGCAAATAGTTCGAGAGACCCTATCTCGAAAAAATCCATCACAAAAGGGTTGGTGGAGTGGCTCAAGATGTAGGCCCTGAGTTCAAGACCCAGTACCACAAAAAAAGAAAAAAAAAAAGTTTTCCTCCTGAATCCCTGCCTGTGCTCCGGGTCCCCCTGTCCTTCTCCAAACATACCTTGAACTTGCCCACAAAGTGTCCAGACCCTTCCTCCTCTCCATCTCCATCCTGGCCTCCCTGCCCTCGGTACAGGGGAAATACATTCAGCCAGTCTTCAAAGTAGTTAAACTCTTCCTCCAGGGAGCTGTTGTAGATCTGAAAGGCAAGGACCTCAGTGACAGTCCAACATCCAGAATCCAAGGAGAGTCCCTTCTCCCCAACATCCAGTTACCTTCAAGGTGGTGATTGCTTTTTTCTGAGACACAGAGCCTTTGACCTCAGCTTCACCCTGGTCCTGGGCCTCCCCATCCCCCGAAATGAGGTTGACCATGTCTGAGAACAGGAGAAATGCTCCAGGTCAGAGAGATGCATGGGGGTAGGGGGATGGACAGATAAAGCAAGGACGAAAAAGCCCAGTCTCTTACCTGAATCCCTGGGATCATCCATTTCATCCTCATCAAAGTTAGGCTGAAATCAAAGGGCAGGTCAGAGACTCTCCCCCACCTCATCCCCTCCTTAGTCCATCCCTTGTCTGGGAATGGTAAGTTGAGAACCTGAGTTCCAGATTTGTAAGCCACTTCTTACAAAACAGTCATCGCCAGTCACATGTGGTTACTGCGCCCTTGAAAAGCGACCAGTCTGAACTGAGACTACCTCTAACACAAGAATGTAAAGTATCTCATTATTAATTTTTATAATGATTTATTATAATGGTATTTAGTATATATCACATTAATAAAATGTATTATTAAAATTAATATTTTTACCTGTTCCTTTTTTACTTTTTTTAAAGTGGCTACTATAAAAGTTAAAATTACTGCTGGGTACCTGTGGCTCACACCTGTAAGCTTAGCTTCTCAGGAGGCAGAGAGCAGGAGGATCATGGTTTAAAGCCAACCCCAGGCAAATAGTTCACGAGATCCTATCTTGAAAATACCCATCCCAGACAGGGCTTGCAGAGTGGCTCAAGTGGTAAGAGCACCTGCCTCGTAGGTGTGAGGCCCTAAGCTCAAATCCTAGTACCACCAAAAAAAAAAAGTTAAAATAACTTATGTGGCTCCCTATTTTTTTTTTTTTTTTTGCGGTACTGGGGTTTGAACTCAGGACCTACGCTGAGCCCTCTACCAGCCATTTTGTGAAGGGTTTTTCAGGATAGGGTTTCACAGAACTATTTGCCCCAGCTGGCTTTGAACAGTGATCCTCCTGATCTCTGCCTCCTGAGTAGTTAGGATTATAGGCGTGAGCCACCGGCACCCAGCTCCCATTCTATTTTGGTAGGACAGCAGAACTCTAGATAATATAGGTACTTATCCCCAGCTTCTAAGATTGTGATAAAAGCAGGGTGTCAGTGGTTCAAGCCTGTAATCTGAGCAACTTGAGAGGCTGAGATTAGGAGGATCAAGGTTTGAGGCCAGCCCATACAAATAGTTTGTGAGATCCCATCTCCAAAATAACCAGAGCACAATAAACTGAATGTGTGGCTCAAGCGGTAGAGCGCCTGCTTTGCAAGTGTGAACCCTGAGTTCAAACTCCAATCCCATAAATAAATAAATAAATTGTGGTAAAGGATAACTGTAATAAATAACTTTGAAAGACTGTAGAGCTCCAACACCCAATGAAATCGTTCTGCTTGCCACTTGCACCCCACCCCCAGTTCCCACCTGTGGCCTCTGCCCACCTGCCCCTGGAGCTCCTGCAGCGAAGCATGGTACTTGGACCACCAGTCGAGCTCCTCAGGCTCTGGAACGTCCTCCTCCAGCTCAGGGCCTTCACCCAGGAGGCCTCCTAGGGTGAGCTTGAGAGGAGCCTGGGGAAGAAAGGACTTGGTCGCTCTAAGCAGCAACATGCCAAGCTGTGCCAGGCCCCTTCTTCATCCTTCTTGTAAACCCCATCACCTTCAGGAGTCCTCTGTATATCCCTGCTTCAGCCAGGAAGGGATCTGGGGACTTTTGTCCTGGGAGGCAACAAAGGACCCCATGAGGATGTTAGGGCACTAGAAGAAGTCAGCCTCCATGTCCCACTGGGTGCTCCCCTGGAGCCGCCTCTACAAGAACCAGAAGGACTTCCATCTGGTGGCCCCTAACCTTGACGTCCCTTTGGCACCAGGTGCTCTGTCTCTTCCTCTGCTCTTTCCTCCTCATGACCCTGGAGTATGAAGCGCAGCATGTGGGGGACAATGTGGGACCCCACAAGGACTATGCGGCCAAAGGCCCGGCGCTCAGTCACCAGAATGCTGAGTGGGGGCTGCAGGTAAGGCTGTTCTGGCAAGTCCTGGAGGGACAGAAAGAGGAAGTGTGTGTCCAAAGACCTGTGGAAGAGGGAAAGGCAGCACAGACAGGTGCATTCTATGCCCAACTCTGCCACAGTCGCACTGTGTCAGCCCTGGTAAATCATTGCCTTCTGAATCCATTTCCCAAATAAAAAGAGACACAATCCTGGACTTGAAGGATTGTTGTATTAAATGAAATCATAGATATGAAAGTCCTTTGGAGCCTACAAGTTGCTACCAGAAACATGGGGTTGTTCTTATGCAAAGGACCAATGATCAATTTGCAGATATAGATTTAGGATCTTTAATGCAGTAATTCCATATCTATCAATAGATCTGAAGGGGGAAGACAATAATTATACAATTTATTGCTGGATTTTTTTAATACATTTGAATATTATAGCATAAAGGAGAGAGGAAGAAATAGAGCTACAGTAGGGAATAGTTTCTATATTTTACTAGAATTAAGTTAATATAATTTGAAGTAGACTGTGAAAAATCAGTATTCATGATCTCTAGACCAACTACTAAGTAAAAACAAGCAAAGGAATTAATGTAGTACACTAATATATATCTACTTGACACAAAAGAAGGCAGTAAAGGAGAAAAAAAAGTACACAAGATGTATAGAAAACAAATTTGCAGATGCAAATACAAACAATAATATCACTAATAACATCAGATATGACAGTAGTACACACTTCAATTAAAATACAGAGACTTTCAACTGGATGCAAAAAAGATGTAGCTACATGCTGAGATTCAAAGACACATTTAGATATACTACGCAAACAGTAACCACAGTGAACTGGGTTAGCTATGGTATTAGACAAGATAGACTTTAAGACAAAAAAGTTTTAGGACTGGGGCATGGCTCAAGTGGTAGAGAACCTACCTAGCAAGCGCAAGGCCCTGAGTTCAAACGCCAGTCCCACCAAAAAAACAAGACAGTTCATCAGGAAGATGTGACAATTATAAACATATGCACCTAACACAGAACTTCAAAATGCAATAGGTAAGAAGTGACAGATGGGGCTGGGAGTATAGCTCAGTGGTAGAGCACTTGCCTGGCTTGTGTGGGTCCAATACCCAGCATAGAAAAAAAAGGGGTGGGGAGGCTCAAGAGGTAGAGTGCCTGCCTAGCAAGTGCAAGGCCCTGAGTTCAAATCCCAATATCACCAAAAACAAAACAAACAAAAGTGACAGAATTGAAAGGAGAAACAACTTAACAATAATAGTTGGAGACTTCAATATCCTATTATCAATAATGGATAGAGGGCTGGGGGCATAGCTCAAATGGTAGAGTGTTTGCCTAGCAAGTGTAAAACCCTGGGTTCAGTCTCCAGTGCTGTGAAATTAATCAATTAATAGATAGAATAACTCGACAGAAAACAATCAAGGCTTGCTCAAGATGTTCGAATAGCACTATCAAACAAACTTGATCTCACTGATATCTATGGCACACTCTACTCAACAATAGAAGAATGCACATTGTTTGCAAGTGCACAATGAAGAAAGAAGTGTGTATTCTCCAATTAGCATTATGCAATAAGGAATGAAAGGAAACACCTTTGGGAGGTGATTTGGTCATGAAGGCAGAGACTTTCCAAATGGCATTAATGGTCTTGTAAAAGAGTCCTGAGGGAGCTTTTTTGCCCCTTTTTGCCCTTTTGCCATGAGAGAAGACTCAACACATACTATCTCTGCCTTGATCTTATTTCCCAGCCTCCAGAAGAGTGAGCAATAAGTTTCTGTTGTTTATCAATTGTCTAAAGTATTTGGTGTAACAGTGGAAGGGACTAAGATAGCCCACCAAAAAATTCAGTGCACACCCTTCTTTCAATTTCATTACCTTTAAACACAGTGAGTTTTCAAACTGAAAACTCCTGCATGTGAAACAGTCATGACATAGTAGTGGTTTTCATTGGGTTGGTTTTTGCCCCTTGCATCTGGCCCTACTACGCTCTGTGTCCATCGCACGCTTGCACACCCCCAGCACTTTTCAGTTTATGCAGTCCTTTACCAAAGTGCTATCATTGACGGCTCACAGCATTCCTGCATGGAGGTACCCGGTGTATGCTATGCTCTTCCAATCCCTTTCCTTTCTTTTTTTTTTTTCCTTTCCCCCTCCCCTCCCACCTACCCTGGCAATACTGGGATTTGAACTCAGGGCCTTGCACTTGCTAGGAAGGCACTCTGCCACTTGAGCCATGACTCCAGCTGTTTTTGCTTTAATTATTTTTCTAGTAGGTCTCAAGGTTTTTGCCCAGCAGCCTGAAACAAAATCCTCCTACTTTAGCCTCCCTCATAGCTGGGATGACAGGTGTGCACCACCACACTTTGGTGGCTTGTAGTTTGAGATGGGATCTTGCTAACTTTTTGACCAGGCTGTCCTGGAACCATGATCCTCCCAATCTCTGACTCCCAAGTAGCTAGGATTACAGATATGAACCACCATACTCAGTACTGACCCTTTTTCTTTTGTATTTATTACCCCCATTTTCAACACAGAAAAACTGAAGCTCACTTAAGTCAGGTGATATAATGAGATACTAAATGTTATTGCCAGAATTTGACTCCAAAATCCATACAACAGCAATTACAAATTATAAAATGTATTTTTCTTCTCATCCTTTGTTGTCTCAGAAACTAAATAGTTTTTTTTTTTTTTTTCCCAGTACTGGGGTTTGGACTCAGGGCCTACACTTTGAGCCACTCCACCAGCCCTTTTTTTGTGATTTTTTTTTTTTTTTAAGATAGGGTCTCATGAACTATTTGTCCGGGGCTGGCTTAGATCCTCCTGATTTCTGCCTCCTGGGTGGCTAGGATTAGAAGTCTGAGCCACTGGCATCCAGCTAGATAGATTTTTTTATTTTTAGTTTAAAAATGTTTTCATTTTGGCTTCTTGAGACAAGGTCTCTAGTGAGGTAAAGTGAGTGTAGCTGAACTTAGCCTTGATCTAGTGATCCTCCTACCTCATCTTCCTGAGTGCTAGAATTATAGATGTACACCACCATGCCTGGTTTAGATAGATCCTTTGGGATTCATATTTCAGAACACTGGGCTAATTCACTCACATTTAGTAGAGCCAGTAGAGCACCACCAGTTCACAAATTAATACAGAGATCTGTTAGCCAAGTTTGACCCACTGTGAACTTTTGTAAATAAAGCTTTATTAGAACACAATCACACTTACTCATTTGCATATTGTCTGTAGCTGTTTTCTTGCTACAGTGGTAGAGTTGAATAGTTGTAGCTGAGACGATATGCCCACAAAGCCAGAAATATTCACTCCTATCTGGCCCTTGATAGAGAGCTTGCTGACCCATGGGTCAGCAAAGATAACCAGCTGGAAAGCACCCACCACTGCCCTCCTTCATGTCTTTGCCCAGCAATCCTTGTCCCCAGCCCATGCCTCACCACTGTCAGATGCTGTACGAGCTCAGTAAAGTTGGGGTTCTCATGGTAGTTGGCCAGAACCTCAGACTCCACACGTCGCCCAGCCACTTCCAGCACAACCTGGGGCTGTTCCACTTCAAATAGGTGCACTCGACCAAGGCCCCTCAGACCCCAGAACAGCACCTAAAGTCAGGAATGGGAGAATCAGGGACCTGCAGCTGACAAAAGGGTCACTCAGTGTAGGGGACTGAGTGGGCTTTGAGGGCCTGGTGCTACCTCCACACGGAACTCTCTGAGCACCGGGCGCACACTAGGTGGCAGGGACAGGCGTCCAGAGAGGGAGTCAAGCAGGGGTGTCAGATCTTGGGGCTCCACATCACTGGGCACTGAAGGCTGCAAGGGGAAAGAGGACAGGGGTCAGAAAGCAACCATGCACAGGATGGAGGGTGGGATCCTGAGACATGCAGGATCGGGGGACTCCAGGATGAACCCACAACCTGGGTTCTCTGGGAGTGGAGACCTGGTAAGGTGAACCTAGAATCCAGCCACTTGACGTGCTCCCTGGAGTCAGGAGGTCCAATGAGGGGACCTCAGGACAGACCTGCAGCCTGCACTCTCTGGGTTAAGGAACCTGGAGGGCTATCCCTGGGACCTACACATCTTTTATATTCCCTGGGGCTGGATGGCCTGATGAATAACAAGAAGGTCCCACAGCCTGCACAGGCTAGGCCAGGGTATTCTGACCTCAAATCGGCCACTGTAGTCCAGTTCAATGAGCTCAAAGATGGCAATGAGCTCTCCAGCTGGGCGAGGGCCTTTCCTCAGGGGAAAAAACTGCAGCTCAGGGCGCTGGTATGGGTCCTCCATCAGCTTTACCTTCGGGGCAGCCAGAGCCCTGCCCAGGAACACTGGGGGGCCCTATGAGGAGCAGGGCAGTGAGGACAAAAGAAGACTCTCAGAGTGGGGGGTCGGGGTGGGGGAGGACATCAAGACAAACAGGAGATAAGAGGGGCAAGGCCAGGAACCCCAGTGAAGCCAGGCCACACTCACAAACTTATTGTGGTCAAAGACACTGATGACCACTAATGGAGGCTCCTCCTGCAGCTGCTCCCGCCTTCCATCCACAATCAGCTGATCAAATACCAGGAGTTCATCCCATAGGGGGCTTAGTGTCTGCTCCAGAACCTTGGGGGCCATGCAGAGAAGGAGGCACCAGCAGGTATAAGAAGGCAGCACTCCACACATGTGCTAGGTGAGCAGCTCTCTCCAAAATGATACTTATAATAGCTGCTTTCACCAAAGGAGTGGGAACAGATGAAGGTGAAAGCATTTTCAATTGGAGTCAGGACTACCCCCTCCTGCCAGCTCAGGTGTGTCACTACTGCCATTGGGTATCCTCAGAGCCCAGTCCTGAAGTCAACCCAGGAAATGACTCTTTTTCTAAGACCTCTCATTCTACACCACACTTTAAGTCAGGGCAGTCCCATCCAGGACCCTGTACTGAAGTCCTAGGGTGGGAAGAGAGACTTAGGGCCTTGGCACAGTCCCATCCCATCTTGTCTCTCAGCCCCCTCCTTCCAGATCCCAGCCCAGCCCTCACCCGTGTGCTCTGGCACTGGGTAGAGATGAGGACACGAGCAAAGGGGTCCGAGAGGCCACTGTCATCGGCTGCCAACACACCTCGGGCCTGGTACAGGTGAGCCCGGAGCTGGAAGTAGCTGAAGTCTGAGATGAAGGGAAGGAAGGGGCCATGCTTGCTCAGACAGCCCTGGGGTTCCATGACTGAGGTTCCACCTCAGACAGACAGAATGGTGGGCCCTTTTGAGCCTATACTCACCATCGCGGTACAGGCTGTGGGGCAGTCCAGCCGAGGGCTCGGGCAGTAGGTCTGGGGGCAGCTCAGAGGTGCAGGCCTTGGCTTGCTTGCCTAGCCCCAGCCACAGGAAGAGCTCCAGCTTGGCACAGACCTCCCCAGGGGCTGCCCCTGGTGCCTATGTGGGAGGGAGGCTCACTGGGGTCCCTTCTTTGTCCCCTCCCATCCTCAGCAAACTTACATTTCCTGTCTCCTACCCAAAGGATCACAGCTTCTCACTACTAGGGACCCTTTGGGTACCTTTTCCAGAGATACCACCTAGACATGTAAGGTACCAAGTATCACTGTCCCTCTTTCATTGCCCTACCCATGTCAGAGCCTGGCCAGCAAAGGGGCCAGTGTGGGCCCAAGGCCTAACAACTTTGCTGTTTATGTCATTATCAATCAGTTCTAGGAAAAGTCACAATCTCCTTTTGGTTTTTAGGACAGTTGAAAATAGTTGGGGGACCCCTGGCTGGGAATCCCAGCCTCCACCCTTGATGTGCCATTGCCCACCCCCAGGCTAGCCCCCCTCACTGTGAGCAGCAGACTCTGGATCTTCCCACAGTCCCGTCCCCGCTCCTCCTCAACCACAGAGAACAGCACATCCTGGGCAGGGATCCGGGCAAAGGCCACACGGTGCTGCCCACTGAGCATCCAGACCAGCACATCAGGGAGGGGTGGTTGGGGCTGCAGGTAGAGAATGGTTTACCCAGATAGATTTAGAAATAAGGCCTCAGATCCATGTGGCCATCTGCTCCCTGACATCTCCTGGATGCCCACAGGCCACCTCAGTCAATCCAAGTGGATTCTTCTTTTTATTCAAATTTTCTTTATGGTGGTAGTTACTGGGGTTTGAACTCAGGGCCTCATGCTTTCTAGGCAATCACTCTACCATTTGAGCCAACTCATAGCCCAGGATTCTTCTTTGTTTAAAAAAAAAAAGAATTATTGTAAAGTACACTTAAAATTTACCACCTTAAATTTTTGGGGGTGTGTTATACTGGGAATTGAACCCAGAGTTTGTCATGCTAGGTTAGCACTCTACCACATTAAGCTATGTCCCCAGCTCACACTAATCTTTTTTTGGTGGTACTGGGGATTGAACTCAGGGCCTTGTGCTTGCTAAGCAGGTGCTCTACCACTTGAGCCCCTTCTCCAGCCCCCACACTAACCATTTTTAGTATACAGTTCAGTGGCATTAAGTCCATTCTCATTGTTTGGAAGCCATTACCACCAGTCACCCATCTCCAGAACTCTATCCCCACTAAATGCTAACTTCCCATCCCCAGCCTCTGGCATTGACCACTTCTGCCTCAGTCTAAAGATTTGAAGAATCTAGGAACTTCATGAATAGAGTCATTCAGCACTTGTTCTTTTGTGACTGGCTTATCTCTCTTAGCACAATGTCCTTGAGGATTTATCCATGTTGTTTATTTTAGTCTCTATTGTTCTTTTATTAAAATATCCAGGCATATGATTTAAAAATTATAAGACTCATGGTCAAGAGAAGAAATAATTAGTACAAGTTGACACATGTATAACCCAAATGTTGGAATTACAAAAATTCTAAAGGATAGCCAGGTATCGGTGGCTTATGCCTGAAATATTTGCTACTCAGGAGCGAGAGATCATGAGGATCACAGTCCAAAGCCAGCCTGGGCAACAAAAGTGAGACCCTATCTCAAAAATATCCAATATAAAAAAGTGCTGGCAGAGTGGCTCCAACAGTAGAGCATCTGCCTAGTAAGTGTGAGGCCCTAAGTTCAGACTCCAGTCCTGCAAAAAAAAAATCTAAAGGATGTAGGAATCATAAGAATCAAAAGATGAAGGCCAGAGCTGGTGGCTCACACCTAGCTACTCAGGAGGCAGAGATCGGGAGGATCTCAGTTCAAAGTCAGCCCAGCCAAATAATTTATGAGACCCTATCTTGAAAATACCCCAACACATAAAAGGGCTGGCAGAGTGGCTCAAGTTGCAGAGTGCCTGCCTAGCAAGCATGAGACCCTGAGTTCAAACCCCAGTACCACACACACACAAAAAAAAGATGGATCATTTCAACAAATGCTTGAAAACTGAAACTATACATTTGCAAAAAATGTAAAGCAAAAACATGTTAAGTGATGCTGCTCTTCTAAGTTTTTTCTTCTGGAAAATATAGTTATTTTTTATAGTTACAAAAATATGGTAACATGTAACATATAATGGGTTTACTCTTGTTATTTTTATTTTTATTTTTTTGGCAGCACTGGGGTTTGAACTCAGGGCCTCAAACTTTCTAGGCAGGCACTCGTATTGCTTGAGCCACTCTGCCAGCCTACTCTTGTTATTTTAGCTGAATCAATAAATAATTTTTTTATTCCTCAGGCTTTTACGTTTTTTCCTTTTTAATTCATTTAATGGAAACTATGCAGTCTACATAAACAAAAGTGCTGGGATCTCTAACACTTACTAAAGGTATAAAGGAGTCCTGAGACCAAAAAGTTTGAGAACTACCATCCTAGAAATGCTCATACTACCAAAACAGAAAGAAAAGCAAAATAATTTAATGTTTGAAAAACAGCAAAACTAAACTATATTATTCAGAATGTGTGTTTATGTCATAAAATATTTCAAATGTCAATTGACAACGGGAGGTTTTCATTATGAATTTTAAAAGTAGGTTAAGTATATTTTAAGTGGTAGAGCGTGGGCTTATCATGACTGAAGCTTATCATGTCTGATCCCCAGCACCACCCCCAAAAAAGCAATTTTGCACTAAAATTCAATATGATAAGGTTTCTATCTTACCCCTCCTTTCATCATTTTGTCTTCCACCTGCCCAGGCCTCTCAATTCTGGGCATTTACACATGCTGTACATTCTTTCTTACTTGCCAAACCCCAACTTATCCTTCAAGGTCTAAAACCAATATCCAACTGGCTTGGAGTTCCAGCTCTGCCACCTAACCAGCTATGACATGGTGGACCATGTCAATCTCCCTCCCTAAGCCTCTGTTTCTGCTCCTGTCATATGGGATAAAGTTCTCGTAAGGTTGTTGGAAGGATCACACAAGATGACACATGCAGATGTTTTGTAAAACATGAAGCCCAAAACATGAACTCCCTTTACTCTTGTTCAGGGATTCAGACCAGGAAGGTCATTCCCGAGGAATTTACTCTCAAATGTTCATCCAAAGGGAACTTGAATATTCCCTGGATCCCAACTGGATCCTAGAACTCTCTTTCTCTCTCTCAACTGCTTCAAACGGAGCCTTCTGAGCAGATATTATTCCAAAGGACAAGTGTTACACACACCTCTGGAATGTTCCAAAGCTTAGGGGAGAGGGTATCCTGGGCAGGGAAATGGGTGGGAAGGCATTACCTCCTGAGCCAGGAAGTGCAGTTTGGCCAGGAGTTTCTTGGCCAATGCCATCTTCTTTTGCATGTTCCCCTGCCTCAGACCCTGTAAAAGCCGCAGTCCTTGCTTTGCCAACAGGTTCTGGAAAGGTAATAATAGAGCATGAGTGAACAGTCTGAGCTGGGCACCCCTCTTCCCAGTTTCAATGCATACCAGGCTGTGTATCAGCAGTTTCCCTCGACATCGATCCAGCATGTTGGGCCTTGTCATCGTCCTGCGCTCAGCACCACGGCAAAACTGTCTGCAGGAAGCAGGGACACAAAAAGAAGGAAGGAGTCCAAATCAGAGCACATGGGACCCTTGGGTCTACTTCCCTCAGAGCAGGCCAGCACATCAGGGAGGGGTGGTTGGGGCTGCAGGTAGAGAATGGTGTCACCCAGATAGATTTAGAAATAAGGCCTCAGATCCATGTGGCCATCTGCTCCCTGACATCTCCTGGATGCCCACAGGCCACCTCAGTCAATCCAAGTGGATTCTTCTTTTTATTCAAATTTTCTTTATGGTGGTAGTTACTGGGGTTTGAACTCAGGGCCTCATGCTTTCTAGGCAATCACTCTACCATTTGAGCCAACTCATAGCCCAGGATTCTTCTTTGTTAAAAAAAAAAGAATTATTGTAAAGTACACCTAGGACCTGCTTCCTCACTGCCTCTCCTGTTCAGGGGCCTTGGTGGAGGCCCTCTTTCCACCATAGTCTCTGCAGGTCCTCAGATCTTTCTCTGTTCCCTAGACGAGCTTGTTCAATCTCAAAAGTGTAATGATATTTCAACATTTACATTCCCAGGCAGAATTCAATTCTTATTGCTTCCTATCTACTACATATGTTAACGTGTAAATCTAATAGATATCTCAACGTTCACATTCAGAAATGAGCTTCTGGTATTCACCCTCCCTCCTTCCTTCAGACATTCTCATTTTCCATAGCTCAGTTATGGCACCATCTACACAGCTGTGCAAGTCAAAATCTTGGAAGGCAACCATGACTCTTAATACATTTTCCTCCTTTCCTACACGTTCTTATCCTGACATATCACTTCCAATTCAAAATTTCTCTTGAATCCATTTTTTTTTGGGGGGAGCAGTACTGGGTTTGAACTCAGGGCCTTTAGCTTGCTAAGCAGGCACTCTATCACTTGAGCCACGTCTCCAGCTCTTGAATCTTTTTTTTTTTTTGGTATGGGGCTTGAACTCAGGGCTTATTTGAGCCACTCCACCAGCCTTTCTTGTCTATTCTTGACACTCCATCTCCAACCCTCTTAAATTCAATTCATCATCATTTATCACCTGGATTATTACCATTTCCTCTTTAGTGATCTCTGTTTCCTCTTTTACACCACCCCTTCACCACTTATCCTTTTTAAGTTAGAGTGTATCACTTTTCTTTTCTTTTGAAAACCTTCAGTGACAAGTCCGGCACTGGTGTCTCACAGCCTGAATCCTAGTACTCAGGAGGCAGAGATCAGGAGGATTGAGGTTCGAAGCCAGCCCAGGCAAATAGTTCGCGAGACCCTATCTCAAAAACCCCTTCACAAAAATAGGGCTGGTGAAGTAGCTGAAGGTGAAGACCCTGAGTTCAAGCCCCAGTACCGCAAAAAAAAAAAAAAAAAAGCCAAAACCTTCAGTGACAAAAACAAACAAAACCTCGCTTGATACAGACAATTATCTCCTTCTCATGCTTCTATAAAGTGTTGAGCAAAAGCAGCTTCAAGCCGTCTTCAGGTCTCTGCTCACCTGCTCCCAGCCACGAGCTCTTCCAAAGTCTGTTTGAGCCGTGCGCAGGCGCCCAGGCCAGATCTTCGCTGCGTCTTCTCAACCTCTTGCAGCCCCAGGTCCTGGGAGCCGCGGGTGTGTGTGCGGGGTGGGGGTGAGGGTGGGGGTGGGGGGGAAGTAAGGAGGGTAGAATCTGAATCTGGAGCGCCTCTGGCCCAGACCCCACCTCCCACCCTAAAGTCTCACCCGCTCTTGGGCTGCCCTTCTTTGGCTCCATAGGATTCTGATTCAATTGTTTTTAGCCCCTTATTGGTTCTACCCTGGTGGGACTGGGCCTTCAACAGCTCTACCCGCCTCCTTCACTTAGACTCTTACTGGGTTGTCCAATTCTAAATCCCTGTCCTCCCACAACTTTGGCCCTTTCAGTTAGCACCGAAACGGTACTCCTAGACCCTGGGCCCCTGGCCTCGCACCAATAAAGTGCAGGCCCCACCGGCTTTGGAGTTCCCTCAAAGACCAAATTTTCCTCCGGTTTTGCTCTCACCAGCCTCTCCGCCACTTTGCGCAGGCAGTTGCTGCTCTGCAGCCGCCACGTGTAATCTTCCCAGCGGCTCCACACGCGCACGCAGGGCTTGCGGTGACGCAGGGGCAAGCAGAGGTATGGCCTGGGCCAGACGGAGAGGAGCGGAGGCTTGGCTTTCCGGAGTCCTGGGTGTTTGGGACCTCCCAATATCCTTCTTCCAGTTACTAGGAGCACTCACCCGCTGCCATCCACAGGCTCGGGCCTCTGAACAGGGATCCCCAGCGCCTCCTCATCCTTCTCCAGCCCGGCTCCCACGTCTTCAGACTCCAGCAGAGGCTGTGCCTCCACCATGGCGCTCTCGGTTTCCTCCCCAGCCCGGGACCCTCGGCCCAACTGTTCCTCCCGGCGGCCTGCGCAACCTAATCCCAGAGCAACAAAGGTCAGCGGTCAACAGACTGTGGTGAGAACCTTCCCTCTAACTCTGCCCCAGCAGAAGTCAGAATTCACTCTTACTGAAGGTCAACAGCCTCTTGCAGGCCAAAAGTATGTAACAAGAGTGACCACCCTCAACCCGTTACTCTAAGGGGTTCAGCTAAACCACACACCAATGGAAATCTCGAAGCTGATAGGTTGCGAGGACATCGCGGGGTCAATCATGGTGGCCTCGAACAGCACCCCAAAAAGCAGAAAATCTTCGCGGGGCGCCAGGGCGTTCTGGGGAAGAGAGTCAGGCTGGAGTCCGTTCCTATCCTCCCAGGGAGCAGCCTGGACTGTGCTTGACCACAATGCCACAGAAAGACATCAGAACCAAGGCCCAGCTGGAGGAGTGGCTCAAGCTGTAAGAATGCCTGCGTAGCAAGTGTGAAGCCCTGAGTTCAAACCCCAGTCACACCCCCCCCCCACAAAAGCTGTAACGTCCTGTCAGCATCCTAATTCCCTCTCTTGCAGCCCCAACCGGGCATTGGATCTCTCTCCCGCCAACATGTGCACATATACTTGCACACCTGTGTACATACACTGCACTCTTCACCTAAGTCTCAACATTGAGAACCACTCCCTGTGGAGTTTAACACCGGGAAAGGATTACAACTCCTAAAGCCGAGAGTGACTCCAGCCAGCACACACCTCCGGCAGGGGCAGCAGTTCCTCCACCTCCACCTCCATGGCGCTAGGAATCTCAGACCCATCTGCACTAGGGCTGGCATGCACGTGCTGCGGAACCACAGTTGGGGGCTGGCCCTGCCTGGCTTTCTTCTTCTTTTTTCCAGTGAGCCGGGACAACATGGACCCCTGAGAAGCCTGGGAGGGCTCGGATTCAGCTCTCCCTTCGAATACCTCCATGGACACTGCCACCAGAAGTCGGCCGCGGAACCAAATGCCTTGGCCCAGGCCTTCGTTGAGACTTTGAAGCCCATCTCGGAGTCCCGCGCTGGGAAGGGAGCCATAGAGGGACACCCAGGCCGGACCGAAGGTGGGGTTAAACCCCGCTGTGCAGAACAAGAAGAGGGTTTTGGAGGGGAGCACAGGGCAGGTGGGTCCTAGATTAGTCTGTGCTCTTCACCCTTACATCCTCCAAGTCCTGAGGTGGGGAAGAGGAAAAAGGGAAGGACTCTGTGGCAACAGTGTGGACCAACACCTGGGACCAAACCCCTTTAAGCTAGCTCACTCCCAAAGGCGCTGATTGGTGGAGACTGGACTTTATGGGCGGAGCCAGAGTCATGGGGGCGGAGCCTCGATTGGGATAGAGCTCCCAATTGGGACAGAGTGTAATATGATAATCACTGGGTAAGTGGATGCTGACGCAGTGAATCTGTTGGAATGGCAGAGCTGGAGTGGTTCCTAGATACACAGCCATGATCAGGATTTTGCAAAACAGAGAGTGGGGACCATCTTCTGGGTACAAGTGAGGCTTCTACGGGCGGGGTAGGCCAGGAGCAGTTCGTTTTGTGGGGTGGGCCGGACTCCTTAAATCGAGCAGTGTCGGGAGGATGGGGTTTGCCATCAGGTGTGGGACCTAAGACACAACTGGGGCTCTGAAGGGCGAATTAAGACAGGGCCCCAGCGCCGGCAGCGCATGCTTGCCAGGAGCGCTCACCCGCTCGGCCCGCATTGGAGATCTGCCTTAGGTCCAGCACGTGCGTGGCGATCACCGCATCGACTAGGGGCGCGTCGTCCCGTAGCTGCAGGCGGAGGCCGCGCGTCAGCGGCGGGAAGAGCTCCACGAAGCTCAGCTGCTCGTTCCACTCCGGCGACGCCGCCTCGGCGCGCACGGATGTCTCACCCTAAAGGTGAAGACAAGTGGAAAGGAGTCAACGCGGGATTAGGGCCTGAGCCATAGCGGAGGGGACACAGGAGCAATTTTTACCTGCTGCCCCAGGAAGGACACCCGCACATAAGGATCCGGGAGGACGTGCTGGTCGTGCAGAGCACGGGCCAGGCTGCCCAGCAGCCCCGGGCGCAGCGCAGGAAGCCCCTCGGCGCGGTACACGCGCACGCGGAGCCGCGCCCACGGCCTCTCTGCCCGCACCCCGCGCGGCAGCAGCAGGTTCCTAAGGGAGCCGGACTCTGAGAAACCGGGAAGCTGGAGTCTTCGCTCCTCTGCTTCTCCGTGCCCCGGAGACCCGTCCTAGTCTCCCCTCCCACCTCACCCACGCTCACTTCTCGATGTCCGAACTGTGCCCTGGGCCAGGGGGGGGCATTGGAGGAGGCAGGTCACCACGAGCCCTCACGGATAAGGTGACCTTGACGAAGCCCTTAGTCCCGGCGCGGGTATCTCGGGGGTCATGCAGAGGAGCCCACTTGTGGTAGAAGTGGCCATCTAGGGGCAGAGGGGCAGGCCAGGGGTCAGGGGACACCTGCGGGATCCCTAAACGGTTTGCAGGTTGTTGAACAAGGACTGGGCTTCCTGTCTGCCTCAGCAGGGAGGAACGGGAGTGTGTGGAAGGTCAGCCTTCACGAGAGATAGCTGTATCAGAAATTAGTGTACAGGGGTCCGTGGGGGGTCACTACCCAGAGTATCAATTTCTGGATCCTTATCCATGCAGACGCGTTTCAATAAGGGAGGATTCAGTACCTGGCTGGTCGAAGATCATGCCTAGGTCCATCCTGAAGATGCCTATCCGGGTGGCCATAAACGGGAGGTTCTGTGAATGGAAAGCCTGAGGAAAAGTGGGTTAGTTCTGGAGTTTACACATCCCCCCTTTTCTGACTGAAACGTCTCCCAGTCACCCTCCTCACCGTAATCTCCAGCAACAAATCTTGGAGGCGAAGCCGAGTCTCACGAAATTCGAACAAGAAGTACTGGATTAAAGTGAGGGTAAAATAAGGTTAGGGAGGTGAGTGAAGGGGAACACCATCCTTTCCCTTCCATCGAGCCTCTTGAACTGGTTCCCTCCATGAGCTCCGGTCATCCATAGGCTAGACATCTGACGCAATGGCACTCCGGCCATGCTCCTAGAGAGAATGTTCCAAACTGAGCTCCTCTCATTCTCTCAGATCTGCCCTTTTCCTGTCCTTTCTACCTCATTGTAGAAGGGACAATTGGTCCCACGCTGTGTGGCGGTCACTCGGCGCTGCTCTCCCACACGCACAGACACGTAGGGGTTAATATTGACTCCCAGGAGTTTCTGGGCTTCTAGTATGGTGACTCCCACCTGAGGAGCGCAAAAAAGGGGAGGGAAGGAAGCCAGGCCTGCCTAAGTAGGGGAAGGAAGGTGTGTACATGCAGAACAGGGGTTCCGTGAGGGTTAGAACCTGGGAGAAAAGCAGTACCTGGAAGTCCTGAGCTCTGCACACCTGGAAGGGATCCCCGCGGGCCAGGCCCCTGGCTCGGCTGCCAAGAAGCTTAGAGTCAACTCTGCTTCCCTCAACCCGCCACACACACTGAGGAGCCTACACCCAGAACTGGGCTCATTCCTGGAGCCCCAAAACCATTCATTTACTCAAAAAAAAATTTTATTGAGCACCACCTACTTTGTAGCAACACTGTTCTAAGCACTGGGATGTTGCAGTGAACCAGACAAAATTTGCCCTCGTCAAATTTCATCACCTATGACTATGTGAGTGTAACTGACTTTGTGACAGTGTCTAAGTTTACAAGCTAATGAACATTGACCCATTCCCGGGGTCATATTTGTAAGGGTGGATGGGTGTGAGTCCACAGGTGTGAGCCATGAGACTGACTCACTGGCAGGGTGTGGGAACAAGTTACCTCTTGAGGGGGCTGAACACCACCCCAGAAAGCTCCACATCTGGCTCATCCTCCAGCTCCAGCTCCAGTTCCAACTCGTTCTCCTCATCATCCTGTGCACCTGGACTTCGAGCTAGCCTGCGGCCCAGAGCCACTGCCTGCCGCTCTAGCCGTGCCCCCGCAGACCTGACAGAAAAGGCTCCCAAAGGACATGCCTAGGATCTGTTACCCATCCCTGGCCATCCCTTGATTTCCCTGACCCATGGACTAATCGCAGGACAGACGCCTAACCCTGGGACTCCTCTAATTCCAGAACTGACTCCTGATTCTAGAACTGACCTCTGACCCTATAATCGATTCAGTCCCAATCCCAGACCCTGAGGCTAACCCCATGTCACTGTCTTCTAATCCCAAAACTGACCCTGGTGACCTAAAGTCATGCCCACTTACTTACTCCAGCTCCTGGAAGCCCACATTGGGGATGATCAACTCTGAGCTGGGCGGAGGAGAAAAGAAGGAAGTGTCAGGTCCAGGCCAACCTACAGAGCTTGTCTAAGGGTCCAAGCACCCAGAAGATTCAGAGTGGAGCTGGGTGCCACTTCTCTCTTTCCAGGGCCTGCCTGTGCTGGGAGCACCCCTCCCCCAGGCCTTGCTAGGTTGCTGGCAGGATTACCTGTCACGGATGGGTGTCCCAAAGTCCTCCTCTGCCCAGGCTCCAGCAGCTCCTTCAGGGGGCTGGTACTTTAGGTCAAGTTCCACATAGATCTGAAACCAGATACAGTGTCCTCTAGTGCCCTTCAAACTGTCCTGGGGACTAGGAGAGGCCTTTTACTCCATCTGTAAATAGAGACCCTCCTGGCCTGCATCTGTAGCAACATGTGGTTGGTCTCTGATCATCAATTATGTCAATTATTCACAACTTTCTAAAGAACTTGATGTGCAAATTAACTTGAGGAGGTCAAATATTAACTCCAAAATTCCCTCCCTGCTCTTGGAAGATCCTTATTATGACCATCACAGCTCTGCATGGCTGGGTCCCTGCCAACTTTGCAGCTCCCTCTCATTCTGGATTTCTGTCCTCTCTGCAACCAATCTTTGCTCCCTTAGGGGACTGGGCTATTGCATATTTGGGTTCTGCTGCCTGGGACTTTCTCTCCTCTCACTTAGTCAATGCCAATAATGCTTCAGTTCAAAGCTCAAGCATTACTTCCTCAGAGAACCTTTTCAGACTTCCAGATAGGCCACATCCCCTGTTATACACTTTCCCAGCCTCCTACCAGCTCTTTGTGATACCCAGCAGTTGTAATGTGCCATTTACTCCTGTGAATATTTCCTTAATGTTTGCTTCCCTGTTCAGCTGGGGAACTCCGAGAGGGCAAATCTTTATCTGATTTTATTCACCATGGAATCCCCACTGCTCAACATCACACTTGGCTTGTGATAAGGGCTTAAGTAGCCAGGTGTAGATGGCTCACTCCTGTACTCCTAGCTACTAAGGAGGCAGAGATCAGGTGGATCACCTTTAGAGGCCAGCCTGGGCAAATAGTTCAAAGACCCTATCTTGAAAATACTCAACAAAAACAGCACTGGTGGAGTGTCTCAAGTGCCTAGCAAGCATGAGATCCTAAGTTCAAGCCCCAGTACTGCAAAAAAACCAAAAAACAAAAAACCAATGATTGAGCACAAAACTCAACACTCTGTATGACTCCATATTATGTAAACGAGAAAAGAGCTAAAGAATGCTAAATAAGTTGTCCAAGTTCTCAGACAAATGGCAGATGTGAGACTGGAAGCCAGGTCCACTTCTTCTGGCCATTATGACCTTTTGTGAAACACCAAGAAAAGCCAGCAGGGTCCATCTTTATCTCCCACAAGAAGTGAGCCTATGGTGAGGGAGCAACAGGGGACTCCTAATCTCTCCCATAGGCACACTCTTGGACACCAAAGATGAGCTTGGTTCTGGCCCATATAATACTCAAGCAGGGGCTGTAATGAAAATCCCTGGCTAGGGGTGTTTGTTACCACTTTTGTCTGGGTCTTGAGTTTTCCCCAGGGGTAAATGGAACCTCTATCTAGATGGAGTCTCAGGCTTAGGGGTAGCAGCCTGGCAACTGGTGAAACTCACTGGGGTCACTCGTAGTTTCTCATCCACAAGGGCCTCCCGCAGTACCAAACGTCCAGCACTCTGTAACTGATGCAAGGAGATCACCAGTTTCCCTAGCAGCCTGGAGGAATGGCAAGGAACAGAAGAGTGACCCAGAGGAATTGCACCAAGCCACCCCCAGGCTCACTCAGGCCTACTCACCTGGGACTGAACACATGGCTGCAGTTGACCACCTGTACAGACAGACTCTCTCCAGCCAGTGGAGCCCCATAGTGTGGCCAACGGAATATCTGAGGATAGGACAAAACTTGTGACACCCAATGCTGGCCTAATCCTGACTCCCTACGCAGAGCCTATGAACAGAAGCCAGCCCTCAAAACTTGGAGCTAACTCTGCAACTGATCTTCCAGACCTAGAACTGATCCCTCCATCATGGGGTTGATTCCAAGCTAGGGCTGATCTGGCCCATAGGGATTCCTTCCAGGTGTCCCAAAACTAATCCCCAAGTCTTGGGACTGACTTGTCCCAAACTGAGTCTGCTCTCTCAAGCCTAAGACTGACCCCTCTTCTTAACACTATGCCTCCCCAAACCCAGGAATAAGCCCAAGCAAAGACCCCAGGATGGACGTGGGAAGGAGACAAACTAGCTGCCCTCCCCCGCCATTCCAGGAACCAACTGTACTGACCTCACCAACATCTGCTTCTTGACCACAGTGAATTTTCCTTGTTTTCTGAGTAAAGCCTGCTCAGAAATTAAACTGGTCACTTATCAGCCCCTCCTCACACAAAAAATCATTTTCCTCCCCCACTTTTGGCCCAGTGTCCAGCCTCCCTGGATTCGCACTTAAAGAAAAGTAGAAGATAGGGAGAGGAGACAGAGAGTCAGAGATGTCGGGCAGGGGAGAGAGGAGACAGGCTATAGAGATAGCCAGGATTTTGGTTGGAGGTCTAGGAAATGGAGAATCCAGAGTTCCCCAGTTCCAAAAATCCCTACAGCATCCTTGTAAGCCTCACCCCGAAAGCTGAGCCTCACTTGTCGGTCATGGGTGCCTGGAAGCCCTTTAAGTCGCCTCACACACACGGTCAGAGCCATGGTCCCAGTGCCACTGGCTCTCCCTCTGCCCTCCTGCCCACCTGAGTCGCCTGTGACTCACTAAACTCACCCAGCTGGTTTAGCAATCCCTGCCCTTTAGTCAAACACACAGGTGGCAGACCTGGGGGTCATGGGTAGAGAGGAAGAGGGGACAGAGGGGTGGGAATCAGGTCCCTGTGATCAGCTTATCCTCCCTGTTTGCACCACTGGAAGCTGGAAGAATGCAAGTTGGCAGGATGCTTGAGCCTCCATCCCATCCTCATAGGGCAGGAGCTGGAATAGGGTGGGGATGGAGAGGATAGAACCTCCGTCTGGTTTCTGATAGCCTATGAGACTTTAAAGCCCTGGAACTTAGGTTATTTCTTGTTTACCTCTGTGTTCTCAACATCCACTTCAGGATGTGGCACATGGTAGATCCTCAAAACACTGGCTGAAGCTCAGTGTGGTGGCACATGCCTATAATCCCAGCAGTTGGGAGGCCAAAGCAGGAGGATCTCAAGTTTGTTGCCAGCCTAGGCTACATGGATGAATCCCCTAGGCCCTGCATTAGTAGGCACTCGACATATTTATTCAATTAATGGGTGGTTGAATGCACCCCCAGCTTGCACACAGTAGTTGTTGTTTGTGTTTCGTTACACTTTTCTTTCTTTTTTTGGCAGTGCTGGGGTTTGAACTCAGGACCTCCTGTTTGCTAGGCAGGTGCTCTACCACTTGAGCTATGCCTCCATCCCTCCCTGTGCTTCTTAACTAGAAGCCAGAGATCCTTAACATGGGGTACTAGGACTCTAGTGGCTTCAGGGTATCTGCAGACCTTTGAACTAGTTTGTAAAATAGTAAGCATGTATGCATTTTTCTGGATATAAAGCTTGTAGCTTAGATTAATAATCCTTAATGGTTATGTAATAATTAAGCTCAATGAAGGAATGAATGTATCTTGCAGTCTGAAACTGTAATAAGTGCCAGGAACTATGTGTTAGGTACATTTCACAGCCACCCACTTACTCTATTCAGTGAATCTAATATGGGCAGGACTTGTGCTATGTCCCCATAGGGAGTGTTCAGGCATAGAGAGGTGAACCAGATGTGTTCTCTGTCTCCCAAGAGCTTCATGGATGCCAATTGATAGCATAGCCTAGAAATATCATACCACAGTTACCATTACAGCACGAAAGGAGCTGGACATGGTGGCACACACTTGTAATCCCGGTATTTGGGAAGCTGAGTAAGGATGATCCTGAGTACCAGGATAGCCTAGGCTACAAAGCAAGACCTTGTCTCAAACAAAACAACAGTAGAAAAGGGTCAGGGCTGGGTGTCTCCAAGGAGGGAGGACAGAGGGACTTTGCTGAAGAGGGAGTATTTAAAATGGGCTTTGAGGACAGTAAAGACAGGTATCCAGGCAGTGGAGAGGAATGCAGGGCGTGTCTGGGACATGTGATTTGTTCAGTTTGGCCTGAATACAAGGAATGTATAGGGCAACAGCAGCAGATAAGATTAGAGGGTCAGAGGAACCAGCTCTGATATAGGAGGTAGGAAGGGAGTTAACAAACCTGATGGCTGAGAACATAGCTTGGATGTTGATAAGGAATTACGTCCTGCACTGCTGACATTAGGGAATAATTTGTGACATGCATCAGGGTCTTGCTGACCCACCATTGGAAAAAAATAACAGCCTCAGTCTGAACATCCAAGACCAAAAACTCCCCCACCCAACATGTGGGAGGAATTGATAACACCTAGCCCAGTCTGTAAAAGTTAATGGCACACAAAGCAGTGCTCCAGTACTGATCACCCCCATCTGAAGACCCTATAAAAGTTTGATGTCTTGGGCCCCCCAGTGCAGTGCTCCCTCTTGAGCCTGCCCACCCTCCTGTCTAGAGGGTGCACTTTTGCTCTGCTTTGCTTTGCATGAATAAACCTGCTCCTGCTTAAGTCTTTTCTGTGTCTGACCTTGAATTCCTTCTCTGACTAGACCAGAACTTTCTGGCCTTGGGATCCAGTGTCCCAAACACAGTGACATCTTTTGGCAAGCCACACTACAAGACTGGAGAAGACAACTACTCAGGAGCAGGTGACTATTTTTTTCTGATTTTGTTAAGTCTACCTGATTCCTTGTGAATATGAGGAGACTGATTTTTCACTTCTACTGTCATTCTGGACTACCATCCTGCAAAACTAGCTCAACATGGAGGTTTATTCCTTCTCCTGTTTCTGAAAAGTCCAAGTGATTGTACCTACATTACAACTACACAGATAACATGTAAAGATTTGTGGGTCTTTATATATTTTCTCCCACTTTTGCTTTCTTCTTCCTTATACTAAGATAGTTTTGCCATTCAAAGTAGTCTGGAATTTTTGTTATCTTAGCCAGCTCTAGTTGGAACATAACATGCTGAAACTCTTAGACTTATGTAAGACCAAAGGGGGGGAATGTTTTAAAAGGCATTTTTAAAAATCCAAACAAAAATAAAGTTTACATAATATCTACAACTGCATATAAACAAATAACAAAATAAAAATAAGGGTTGGGGGCATTACTTAACAGAGAATACCTGCCTAGCAAGTTTGTGATCCTAAGTTCAAACCAATACCACCAAAAATAAATAATAAATAAATACATTTAAAATACAAAAGATTACTAAAAACATGTTTTGTGGTGGGACTAGGGTTTGAACTCAGGGATTCTCCCTTGCAAGGCAGAAGCTCTACCACTTGAGCTACATCTCCAGTCCATTTTATTCTAGTTATTTTGGAGATGGGGATCTTGAAAATTATTTGCAGAGGCTGGCCTCAAACCTCAGTCCTCCTGACCTCAGCCTCCTAAATAGCTAGGGTTATAGGTATAAGCGTCCAGCTTATTAAAAACATTTTAAATAAAAAATTAAATACAAATAATGTTTTGAAGGTTTTATTTTAAAAACAAAAAAAATCCAAAATAAAACCAAAAAAAGGACAAAACCAAAAAATTAAAAACATTTTACAAAAGGATAGTGTTAGGGTTTATTCTGAGATACAATTAATAAAATATGGTAAAACATAAAAAAGCATAAAGAAGTAACATTCTCTGGGTAAAAAGGTTTTTAAATGGTGAAATAATAAGGTTTTGCCTTAAAGTAAAAATATGTTCCAAAATAAACAAATAAGGACAAAATCAGGAGGGTGAGTGCGTGTCACAAAAGGATTGTGGTAGGGCTTAAAATAATATATAATTAACTTTTTAAAAGCCCAATACAGTCTTAATAAGTTTATAAAAGACTGTAAAAACTTCCCCTCAAACCCAATAAAGCTGAGACACAAAAAAGTGTTGTCAATCTCTTTGAGAACCTCCACTCTCCTCTTTGAGGGCATATTCTTTTTATTTTATTTTATTTTTTTTTCTTGGTAGCACTGGGGTTTGAACTCAGGGCCTCACACTTATCAACTGACATTTAAAATATTTAATGACATAAACATACATTCTTAAATAATATAGTTTAGTCTTGCTCTTTTTTTAAACATTAAATTATTATTCTTTTTAAATTGACTGTACTGTTTCTAAGGTAGTGGTTCTCAAACTTTTTGGTCTCAGGACTCTTTTACACCCTTAAAAAGTATTGGAGATTCCAGAGCTTTTGTTTATGTAGATTGCATGTACTGATAATTACTATTATATGAATCAAAAAGCTAAAAATGTTAAAATCCTGAGGAATAAAAATTACTTATTTATTCAGTTAAAATAACAAGATTAGGTTGATGGAGTGACTCAAACCGTAAGAGCACCTGCCTAGCAAGCATGAGGCCTTGAGCTCAAACCCCAGTGCTGCCCAAAATAAATAAATAACAAGAGTAAGCCCATTACCTGTTACAATATTTTTGTGAAATATAAGTATATTCTCCAAAACAAAAAACTTAGAAAAGCGGCATTGCTTTGTTTTTTTTTTGCAAATGTATAATTTGAAATGATTAATCTTTTGGATCTTGTTTGTTTGGCGGTACTGGAGTTTGAACTCAGGGCCTCACATTTGCTGGGCAGGCAGGCACTTTATCACTTGAGTCACTCCACCACCCCTATTTTTGTGTTGGATATTTTCAAGATAGCGTCTTGTGAACTATTTGCTCAGGGCTGGCTTTGAACTGAGATCCTCCTGATCTCTGCTTCCTAAGTAGTTAGGATTACAGGTGTGAGCCACTGGCGCCTGGCTACACGTCCCCCTTTTGACAAATAGGGACACTGGAACCCAAATGAGTTCATAGTCAAACAAGAAATGGGGAGGGGTATAGGGTGGGGGAAGACAGGTTTAGACCAGAATTCTTAGTTTGTAGTGCCTTGGCCTTCTTCTCCTTCTCTCCTCTTGGAGTCTGTGGAATCTAATCAAGCAACAGGTTAATGTCACCTCTCTGGAGCCTGGCACTGGGCTGGATGGAACACAGCTTAATGGGCTGTCCCTGTGCCTCCATCCCTCTAGAACTGCCACATCCACATCCTAACATTCTGAGGAAGGTGATATGACATAAAGAATATTGGGCTAGAGAGCAGGATTTTGGAATTCTAATCTGCCATGCGTGACGTGATCTCAGGGAAGTACCTTCCCCTCTCTGCACCTGTTTGCCTCCCTGTGGGATTTGTGCAGGATGCCCTGCATTGCTTTTCCAAGTGGAGTTCTGAATCAGAATTATGCATGCAGCTGTTAAAAATATGTGTTCTACCAGCTCCAGTGGCTCACACCTGTAATCTTAGCTATATGGGAGGCTGAGTGAGATTGGGAGGATGGAGGTTCGAGGCCAGGCTGGGCAAGTAGTTTGAGAGACCCCCATCTCCAAAATAACAAGACTCAATGTCCCTGTCTGTCATCTGGCTTTTTTTCTTATTTTTATTTATGAATGTATATAATTATTTTTTTAGACAGGATCTCACTATGTAGCTCAGGTTGGTCTTGAAGTCAAGCTCCTCCTGCCTCAGTCTCCTGAGAGCTAAGAGCTGGGATTACAGACTTGAACCATTATGCCCATCTAAGAACCTGAATTTTTCACTTTTTTTTTCTTTTCTTTCCTTCCTTCCTTCCTTTTTCCTTTCTTTCTTTTATTTTTTTTCTTTTGGTGATACTGTTCTTTAAACTCAGGGCCCCTTGCATACTAGGTAGGCGTTCTACCATTTGAGCCACGCCCCAGGACTTTTTTGCCTTAGTTATGTTTCCAACAGTGTCTCTGATTTTTTGCCCAGGTCTGCCTCAGACGGTGATCCTTCTACTTACAATCTTCCTCCTAGCTAGGAACACAGATACCCTCCACCATGCCCAGCTTATTGATAGAGATGAGGTCTCACTAACTTTTTGCCCAGGCTGGCCCTGAACCATGATCCTCCCAACATCTGCCTCTGAAGTGACTGAGGTAACTAACAGCCTCTGCGCTTGGCCTAAGAACCTGAATTTCTGTAAGCTGCACTGTTGCACAGCAATTTAGGAACCTCTGATTTCTTGGAGGTGACTATCTGTGATTCCTCATTACTTTCTCAGGGCTCAGGTGTGTGATATAGTGAGGTGTGGGTAAAATGACTTGTAGTTGTGGAATTCGCACCCCACAGACCCTGAGAAGTCATGGGTCTGGGGGAGAGACTCACAGATCCTGAGGCCAGAATTCTCTAGGATAACAGGAGACTAGGATAACAGGAGAAGGCTGAACGGTTTACAGGGCAAAAGGGACTGGACGTTTATTTAGAAGTACCCTGAGTGATGCTCTGCTCCTTCATAGTACTCTTTTTTTGCAAATATTTGAGCACCTTTCTAGATGCTGGAGGATACAGTAGCGAACAAAACCAGCACAAACGCCCATCCTCATAAAATTTACATTCTAGTGAGCATGATAGACAATAACGAAGTAAATCAGAAAAATTTATAGCACGTTAGTGTCAAATGCAGAGGAAAAAACACCAGGTAAGCGGGATGGAAATTGATTTACGCTAAGTACAATTTTAGACAGCGTGCCCTGGGAGTGCTGTGATATCACTGCTTGCTTCTATGGTCGGAAAGCATAAAGCACTACCATGGCTCCCAGTGACGTCACGTCCAGCTCTGTGACGCGCGGTCAGGACGTGCAGGGGAGGCCAGGGTCTCCTCTGGGACGTCAGTAGCCGGGCCCAGATACAGTGGGGAGAGCTGAGTCCAACCGCTGGGCCCGCCGGCTCACCCAGGGTCCGTGGGCGTCCCGGCGGCGCGCAGCGGCGGAGGGAGGGCCGAGGGCCTTGGCGGCTGTGACAGCGACTTTGGCGTCCGTGAGGGGCGGCCCCAGGTCAGGATGCGGCGGAGCCCCCGCCCAGGCTCGACCGCGACCCCGCACAAGCACACGCCCAACTTCTACAGCGACAACAGCAATAGCTCACAGAGCGCGATTGTGGGGAACAGCGGCGGGCACCGCTCGGCTGGGCCGGGGCCCGTGGAGCCCGAAGGAAGAAGGGCCCGGGGCTCGAGCTTCGGCGAGCCCGCCCTGAGCCCAGGAGTGCCCGGAGGAGACACATGTGCCGGAAGCTCTCGGCAGAAGCGGGCACCTCGGAGCCACAAGGGGCAGACCGCCTGTGGCGCGGCAACCGTGAGGGGCGGGGCCTCGGGTGCGGGCGGGGTCGAAGCCGGGGAAGAGAGGGAGGGGGCGGGCCTTTCGGGCGGGGCCTGGAGTGGAACGGGAATGAGATTGGGCACGGAGGTGAGGAGGACAATAAATGTGATCCTTAAGAGGCGGGGCCTCGCTGTGATGGATAGTCTGGGAAGAGGCGGGGAAACTCCTATGATTGGGCACCACTGAGGAGACGCCTCAGTGTTGGCGTGAGTGGCTGCCTGGGAAAGGGGGATGCACCAAGACTTCCGGTGGGGGCGGGAGCTTTCTGTTTCTGGTGCAGTGGGAGCCTGGGATAGGGTTGCAGGTAGAGTAAAACCTGTCTGAGAGGCTGCCCAGTTTGTCTGGCGGCCTGGCCCAGGGGGAAGAATGGGCCTGCAGTACACAAGGCCCTAATGGAGCCCTTGGGCTCCCATAGAACTGGCTGGGCCACCCGTAGTCTCTGAGGAGCAGCAGCTCAACCTTCTCTCCACTCTGGATCTGGGACAGGAGATGCCGACCCCGCGGGTGTCCAAGAGCTTCCTGAGTAAGAGCCAAGCCAGCCCCAACCCCTCTGTCATTCAGCTCGGAACTTTGGTTCTCCTGTATGAGTCCTTGGCCCTTTCTCTGAGACTCAGGTCTGAGTGTCCAGCCCTTCCCTGGTTCTCAGCTCGCTCTCCAAGCCCACCCTATCCTCCTGAGCCCCAAGCCCTGTCCTTGGCCCCTTCTGAACCTGGATCACCGCGCTCTGGGAGCCGGCCCTCGTGGATTGTCCGGTCTGAGCCGGCTCTCCTCTCCCCAGGCCTCCTCTTCCAGGTGCTCAGCGTGTTGTTATCCCTGGTAGGAGACGCGCTGGTCAGTGTGTACAGGTCAGAGGGAGGGACGGGGGCGACCCAGGGCTGCTCTTTAGCAGGGGAGGGGATCAGGGCCGGCCCGTCTGAGGCTTAAGCAGATTCAGATCTGGTTGAGTCTGTTCGGAGCTGCGTCTAGGACCCTGGGGTCGGGGCTTGGGGCTGAGGAAGAGCCTTGGGGCCTCAGCCTCCCTCCGATTCCTTAGGGAGGTCTGCTCCGTCCGCTTTTTGTTTACGGCTGTGTCGCTGCTGAGCATCTTTCTGGCAGGTAAGAGGTGGAGATTCCCTGAGGCCCCAGCTCTGGGTGTTAGCCCCCAAATCCAGCTCATTCCCTCAGCCCACTCGGCCCCTTCGGAGAAGTCTAGTTCCCCGTCCGTCTCCCACCGTCTTCCCTGGACTCAGCCACTTAGGCCGACTGCTCTCCTTACTGTCTGTCCCTTTATGCCAAGGAAACCTCTTCCTGTCCTCTCCCTTCCTCTGAGACCCCCCCCCTCTTTCTCCAGCACTCTGGTGGGGGCTCCTGCACCTGATCCCTCCTTTGGAGAATGTAAGCCGGGGAGTCTGTCCTGGGGAGGGTGGAAGTTGTGGGGTTCCTGGTTACTGGAGATGCAATGCTGCAGGCTAATCTTAAGGAAGCCCTGGGCACAGATTTATTTCTCAGGGGGTGGGCCCAGAGGTGCCTGAGGGTCTCTGACAGGCTGTGATCCTGGGGTGTGAGGGAATCAGGGAAGTTCCGGGAGTGGGGGCAATTCTTAGAAAGGAGGCCCTTTGTATCTGGCTGCCCCAGACAGAAGGGGGAGAAGGGGGCGCGGAGCTGCATGGCCCTGATTTGCCCATCCTTCTCCCAACAGGAACCTAAGGAGATGCTGACTCTAAGGTGAAAGGGCACCTGGATGGGAGTTGGGTGGCTCAAAGGTGCTTGTGTGGGGGCCCAAGGGAGGGGTGCAGGGGGACAGGGACCCAACCCCATGGTGCCAACCTCCTTCCTCCAGCGAGTACCACGAGCGCGTGCGCTCCCAGGGGCAGCAGCTGCAGCAGCTCCAGGCGGAACTGGATAAGTTGAACAAGGAGGTGTCCAGTGTTCGCGCAGTCCACAGCGAGGTAAGCCCCGCGCGCATGTGCACTTCTCCCAGTCTTGGGGCTCCTTGGAAATACCAGGAAATTCGGTCCTGGGATTCAACTTCCACCCCAGGTCCCTACTGAGAGGTAAACCCGCCCATCTGTAAACCCGCCCTCAAGCTCCGCCTTTGCTGGTCCGCCCTTTCCCCCAACCTCCCTGCAGAGAGTGGCCAAGCTCGTGTTCCAGAGGCTAAATGAGGACTTCGTGCGGAAACCCGACTATGCTCTGAGCTCAGTGGGTAAGACCCAGAGACACTCAGAGACAAGACATAGACCCTCCTCCAGCTGTTGGTAAGGCCTGGGGCCTCTGAGCATTATTCTCCCTTTTCTAGGAGCCTCCATCGACCTAGAAAAGACATCCCACGACTACGAGGACACAAACACTGCCTACTTCTGGAATCGCTTCAGTTTCTGGAACTACGCGCGCCCGCCTTCTGTCATTCTGGAAGTGGGTCCGGAACCAGGATCTGGGATGGGACCAAGGGGCAAGGGCTAGGGAAAAGACCCGAATGAGCTCGGTGGAGGCTGGACCTGGCTGAGATAAGGGCGTGGCCCACGTGAAGCTCCTGCCAAATCCAGCTGGGTTGAACTGGAGACCTGACAGGGCTGCCAGCTAGGCACTGGGCATCATCTGACTCAGCAGATATGAGGGCTAGGGCAGCAGTCGCCTTGTTTTGTTTCGAGACAGGGTCTTGTTAGATAGCAAAACTCGCGATTCTCCTGCCCCAAATTATGAGTATCCATGGCATCTGATTGTCCCTCACTCTTCCTCTACTTCTGCCCGCAGCCAGATGTGTTCCCTGGAAATTGCTGGGCTTTTGAGGGTGACCAGGGCCAGGTGGTGATCCGACTACCAGGTCGTGTACAGCTGAGCGACATCACCCTGCAGCACCCGCCGCCCAGTGTGGCACATACAGGGGGAGCCAACAGTGCCCCCCGTGACTTCGCAGTCTTTGTGAGTGGGGCTGAGGGCAAGAGGTGGGTGGGGGAGTGTTTAGTGGCCAGTTATGAGAACTAGTCCCAATATGTGTCTTTGGTTACTCATCTAGAAACTTGACTACCACTTGCCTCCCAGAGCCACTGTAGGTTATAAATAACCATAACAACTATATCCAAGTTATATTTAGGTAAGGCTTATTGAGTCCTTTCTCTGTGCCAAGTGCTTTACATGCATTATTTCACTGCATCCACTTAACAACCAATGAAATATTACCTCCCTCTGTACATCTGAGGAAGGTAAGGCTCTGAAAGGACACATTACCTGCTCAAGGGCACACAGCTAATGACATATTCCACACTACAATTCTACCATCAGAACATGCACAAGAGCACACCTACCGCTATAGAAGATCATGGACAAGGTTGTTTTATCTCCCCTCTGCCTGTGCCTCACTATACCTCCATTCATTCTTCACCTACCAGGGCCTCCAGGCTGATGATGAGACTGAAGTTTTCTTGGGGAAGTTCACCTTTGATGTGCAGAAATCTGAGATTCAGACTTTCCACCTACAGGTGTGTTTGTTTCTGGGGTTAAAGGTGCTAAGGCAGTGGGGCTTTGAGAGACAACTGGTGAGGGCAGCCTTGGGAGATCAGTTCTTCGCATGATCCATTTGTCTCTCCAGAATGACCCTCCGTCTGCCTTCCCCAAGGTGAAGATCCAGATTCTAAGCAACTGGGGTCACCCACGTTTCACATGCTTGTATCGAGTCCGTGCCCATGGTGTGCGGACCTCAGAGGGGGAAGGGGACAGGGCCACAGGGGCTACTGGGGGGCCCCATTAAACATGCTGATGGTTGGAATATAATTGAGCTCTGTACTGAAGGAAGTTGGATCAATGCTGGGAAGTGCTTTGTTGGAGATAGATCTGGCTGCTTAAGGCATATGCCTGTGTATCCTCTTTTTCGTGGAGAAACTCAAGATAAATATAGTAGCAGCAGTAGGCTACCATATGCATGAGACAGTGAAGCAGACATTATACAAGTTACTCAAGAATCCTTAAAACCACAGAGAAGGAAATTGCTTAGGTCAGAAAACTTGTTCAAAGTTGTGCAGCCAGTGAAAACAAGTCCCAGGGCTGTCTTCCTCCAAGAGCCAAACACTTCAACTGCAGAGATGCCGGGCAGCTGAAGCCATGCTTTTGCTCAATGTCCACCCCCAATGGCTGGGAAAGTCCCCAACTTTTGCTGGGTGCAAGTAGAGGGAACTATATCTTCAGACTATCACTAGAAAACTAAGGAGGCAGGATACAGTGGCTCAGGCCTGTAATGCTAGCTACTCTGGAGGTAAAGATTGGGAAGACAGAGGGAGGTTTGAAGCCACCCTGACAGAATGTCCCTGAGGCCCCATCTCAACCAATAGCTGGGCAGGGCATTGGTTACTTTCACCCTAGCTTCAAGGGAAGCGTAAATAGGAAGATCACAGTCCAGGTGGGCTGAGGTATAAAAGCAAGACCCTAACTGGAAAAATAACAAATGCAAAAAAATGGCTGAGAGTGTGGCTCCAGTGGTATAGCGCCTACCTAGCAAGCATGAGGCCCTGAGTTCAAAACCCAGTATCAACAACAACAAAAAAAGTACAAAATAAAAAAAAAAAAACTAAGAAGGAGGTATGGAGAGGCTGGTGGAGTGGCTCAAATGGTAGCATGCCTACCTAGCAAATGTGAGGCTACCACCATCATTACCACCAAAACACACACACATATACACATGAAAAACAAAATTAAGGAGACTTGAGAATCGCTAGGAAGCATCTGAGTTACAGAGTTGCTACAGGCCTGGTAGCCCTTACACAGGTTGTCTTTAAGCTATACATGGCATAGGTCATCTAGTGTTCACCAGTCCCTGCCCTCAAGGAGCCAGGGGGAAGAAGATGCTTCAGGAATCAGGATAATTCATTTACAGATACAAGAATTTTACTCTAAAGGTCAAAAGTGGAACTGGAGTTGGGCGTGGTGGGATTACACTTGCTGAGGCAGGAGGATCTTGACTACCAGGCCAGGCTAGACTATATAATGAGACACTGTTAAAAAAAAAAAATGGTGGACTGGAGAAAAAACAAAAATAAAACATGGAGCCTAAGGGTAGAAAAAAGAGACTAGCATGAACAAAGAAACATGCAATATCTGTCGTAGTGTGTCTGTGATTTGGAAGAACATACAGACTTATCAACACTTCCTTAAGAAGTAGAACTAAAAGTGTCTAACACTTTTAGAATTTATCCATCTGTTTAAACTTAGGTGATACTTTGTTTTTAAACATTTTTATTAGCATATGTTAGTTGCAAAGAGGGGTTTCATTCTGACATTAACATACATACTTAAGACTGTACCTTGGTTAGATTCACCCCCTCCATTTTCTCATCCCACTGCCAAGAGATACCATATTTTGTAATTTGAAAACAAAAGAGTAAGACACTACACCAACTATTCTCAAATCCTAATGTGAGGGGTTGGAGATAAGGTAGAGTGCTTGCCTAGCATGCAGGAGGCCTTGGGTTTGATCTCTAGTACCACAAAAGAAAAATGAAACATACAAATAAACCCATAAATTAAGAAATAGAACTAGGGCTACGTGTATAGCTCAGTAGGACAGCACATGCTTGCCTAGCATGCAGGAAGCCCTGGTATTAATCCCCAGAACCAAAAAAGAAAAAGAAGGAAGGAGAATATGAACTGGAAGGCAGTTTGACAACAGGAACCAAAAGGGTTAAAATTTTATGCTCTTTAACATAGCAATTCTGTTTCTAAGGATGCATCTGAATACACATACACATTTAAAGATAAATAATATGTATTTAAAATATTGTATTTAAATATAATATGTATTTAAAGATAAATGATAAATATAATACTTATATTTGTCATGTCCTTTATAAAGAAAACTGGAAATACAGTGTCCAAGTAGATGCTTATTCAGGATGGTACAGAGTGCTTTTCTAGTATGCATGAAGCTTTGGATTCAATCCCTGACACCATAATAATGATATGATAATGATAATAATAAATTAACAATAACAATAATCATAATCATCACCATCAGCCAAATAGAAATCATAATTTGAGGGAATGTTTAATGTCATAGAAAGCAATTAATGATATATAGATATAACTTTTTTTATGTTTTAATTTTTTTTGTGGTACTGGGGTTTGAACTCAGGGCCTATATCTTGAGCCCTTTTTTGTGAAGTGTTTTTTTCAAGATAGGGTCTCTCGAACTATTTGCCCGGGCTGGCTTTGAACTGTGATCCTCCGATCTCTTGCCTCCTTGGTAGCTAGGATTACAGGTATGAGCCATTGCCAAGTTAGGGGCTGGAGGAGTGGCTCAAGTGGTTCAAGTTTGAACTCAGGGCCTTGTGCTTGCTAGGCAGGCACTGTACCACTTGAGCTATGCCCCCAGCCCTATAGAGGGCAATTTGTGGCATCAAAGTTTAAAAATACTATTTGAGTTGGGCGATGGTGGCTCACAACTGTAATCCTAGCTACTTTGGAGGCTGAAAACAGGAAGGATTGTGGGCTCATGCCTGTAATCAAAGCTACTCAGGAGGCAGAGATCAGGAGGATTATGGTTTGAAGCCTGCCCAAGGCAAATAGACCCTATCTCTAAAAAACCCATCACAAAACAGGGCCAGTGGAGTGGCTTAAGTGGTAGAGCACTTGGCTAGCAAACCTAGCAAGCATGAGGCCTCTGAGGTCAAGCCCCAGTATTGCCTCCCCCACCAGAAAAAACGAGAGCTCTTTGCAGTAGCACATATACTAAAATTAGAATGATACAGAGAAGGTTAGCATGGCCCTTGCATAAGGATGGCATGCAAATTTGTGAAGTGTTCCATATAAAAAATAAATTAAAAAACCAAAGGAAGGATTGTGGCTTGAAACTAGCCTGCGCAAATAGTTTTCAAGATCCTATCTCTAAAATAACCAGAGTAAAATGGACTAGAGGTGTGCCTCAAGTGGTAGAGTACCTGCTTTGCAAGCACAAAGCCCAGAGTTCAAACCCCAGTCTCATCAAAAAACAAAACAAAAAAACTTTGATCTATGATTTCCACATCTAGGAGCAAATCCTCAGAAATACAAAGATAAATATATATCCTGTTCCTTACAGCACTGTTTTCATAGAACAAAGCAAATCTCCATAAATAAGGGATTAGCTAAATAAACTCTGAGGCAGCAAGTTCTGATGGGTTAGATATCCAAAATATATTAAATAAAAATAAGATGCAAACATATGTATAGTATTCTATTTATTATTTGTTTGTTTTTGCAGTGCTGGGGATTGAACCCAGGGCCTTACCCATATTGGCAAGCCCTCTATCACTGAGTGGCATCCCAAGTCCATAAAATAATAGGGCCCCACACTTGCTCCATTATCTATTTTGTATAATATTTGTGTTTGAAATAATCTTGTGCTAACTAGCATTAGTACACATTTTAAATTAGATAACATTTTTAAGCATGCTGTGAGTGTGTATAGACTATGAATATGCATAAAGGAGTAAAAGATATGAACCAAATACATTTTATTAGGACACAGGAGTTTGGGTGAAATTTATTTTTTCTGTATTTAAAAGCTTAAATGTTTTTCTAAACGGTGCAGTACTGTAGGCCTATAGTCCCAGCTACTCAGAAGGCTGAAGCAGGAGATCACTTGAGTCCAAGTGTTCAAGTCCAGGATGTGAGGGCGATCTGGCTGCAACATCTGTCACCCCATTGATCGCCAGGGTTGATTCGGCTGATCTGGCTGGCTAGGCGGGTGTCCCCTTCCTCCCTCACCGCTCCATGTGTGTCCCTCCCGAAGCTGCGCGCTCGGTCGAA